GATAATCTATTACATATGTATACATATATGTATATATAATTAAATATGACCTACTAAAGAAACGTGCTTGCTAAAGCTCTAAAAGCACACAGAAAGTAGTTACAGAGATATATAATTTGTATTCTATATACATATATATATACCTTCTATGTTATATGACTCCATAAGAAAATAGATAGTCAAGTCAAAATGCCAAACGAATGCATGTCCAATCGATTTCCGTCTCTGACTTTCAGCTGTTATTGCCCTATAGATCACAAACAGACGCACACAGACACAGACATACATATATGTAGGTATGCAAACAGATGCATATATGTATGTATGTGTACATAGCCCCTCCAGTAATATGCACTTATCTGGCATACAGGTATGAATGAGCTGGGGACTAAGATATAGTCAGCGCTTGAAAGTCAAGCTAAGAGCATTGACAGATTTGATTTATTACGTCTCTGGTCAGCGGGTCGAACGTTACGTGCGGCTGGGCCAATCTTTAGCTTTCGGCTCAAGATAGAGTTACAGTTACAGTTAAAGGAGTCCTAGCGTTTCCTTTCCAGAAATATATTTCATAAAACTATCGTTTCTTTCGTTTTGCCTAGAGTGCAAATGCTCAAAGCCCTCGGGCACCTTGGATCGCATCATCAACACTCTGAAGTGCTCAACTATGATATGCGAGGGCACACACTTTGACGGTCAAATTCCACACACTTTTGTGGTGTTTGGTGCATCGGTAAGAGATTCGTCGTTCAAAGGAGGACGATTGATCCCGATGCAGGATAACTCTATAAACACTTGCATTTACAGGGCGATCTGGCTAAGAAGAAGATATATCCAACACTATGGTGGCTATATCGCGACGATCTGCTGCCGAAGCCAACAAAAATTTGCGGCTATGCGCGCTCCAAGATGACAGTGGACCAGTTGAAGAATCTATGTGAGCAGTATATGAAGGTAAAGTTGGAATCTTTTGAGTTCTCTTAAAGATATGATACCCTGAATTATGGAGTTTATATGTAAGAGTATCGCAATTGGGCGTATTCGACTGCAGGGCTCAAAGAAAGCTGGATTTATTCGGAATATCGGAAATATAAACGGATATATAGATGGACATATGCACCGACAGACGGACGGCTAAAAAGCGACATACTCCCTTCCCTTCACACCGTGAACCGTATAGAAATTGTCAATAGAGTCGCTCGCTCGCTTCTATGCGATTCTCAAGCTAAGCTTTCAATTTTTTGAGAAGAATATTTGCTCAAATTGTTTGCTGTGCTCTTCTATGCGGTTCTCAATTTAATGGAAATCCACTTCTTTGCCCTTGACAGGTGCAACCGCATGAACAGATGAAATATAATGAATTCTGGCGCTTGAATAACTATGTTTCCGGACCATACGATGACGCCCAGGGCTACCAGGCGCTCAACCAGCACATGGAGTCGATCGAGAATCGGCTTAATGCGAATCGCATCTTCTATTTGGCACTGCCGCCCACAGTCTACAACCAGGTGACGTTCAACATCAAGCACAACTGCATGTCCAAGGGGTGAGTGAATGATATATGGATAATCCTTAAGTGGATCGTACCTAAATCTGCATTTATCTTTCGTTAGCGGCTGGAATCGCGTGATCGTCGAGAAGCCATTCGGGCGAGATGATGTGACCTCGAAGGCGCTGAGCGATCATCTGGCCGGCCTGTTCGAGGAGGAGCAACTGTATCGCATCGATCACTACTTGGGCAAGGAGATGGTGCAAAACTTGATGACCATACGGTTCGGCAACAAGATTCTGAGCTCAACATGGAATCGCGAGAATATTGCCTGCGTCCTGATCACGTTCAAGGAGCCGTTCGGTACGCAGGGGCGTGGCGGCTACTTTGACGAGTTCGGCATCATACGAGATGTGATGCAGAATCATCTGCTGCAGATTCTATCGCTGGTGGCCATGGAGAAGCCATGCAGCTGCCATCCGGACGACATACGTGATGAGAAGGTCAAGGTGCTGAAGTGCATCAAGCCATTGGAGCTGAGCGACATGGTCCTGGGCCAGTATGTGGGCAATCCCGCAGGCAGCACGGCTGAGGAGCAGTGCGGCTACCTGGATGATCCCACCGTGAGCAAGACATCGAACACGCCCACCTATGCCATGGCCGTCATTCAGATCAACAACGAGCGCTGGCAGGGCGTGCCGTTCATACTGCGCTGCGGCAAGGCATTGAACGAGCGCAAGGCCGAGGTCCGCATCCAATATCAGGATGTGCCCGGCGACATCTTCGAGGGCAACTCGAAGCGCAACGAGCTGGTGATACGAGTGCAGCCGGGCGAGGCGCTCTACTTCAAGATGATGACCAAGAGTCCGGGCATTACGTTCGACATTGAGGAGACCGAACTGGATCTCACCTATGAGCATCGCTATAAACATTCCGTGCTGCCGGACGCCTACGAGCGCCTCATTCTGGACGTCTTCTGCGGCTCCCAGATGCATTTCGTGCGCTCCGACGAGCTGCGCGAGGCGTGGCGCATCTTCACGCCCATTCTGCACAAGATCGAGCATGAGCGCATCCCACCCATTCCCTATCCGTACGGCTCCCGCGGCCCCACTGAGGCCGATCGCAAGTGCGTCGAGAATAACTTCATCTACTCGGCGTCCTACAAATGGCATGGCAATAAGGCGGATGCATCTCATCTTTGATTTGGGACTCCATGGGATCCATTGGCTTTTTGGTGTTTATGTTGATCATTAACTAACTCTAGCGACATTTATACATATACTCTGCATATATATCTATGTATATATATGCATATAATAGGCGTTTTTTTTTTATTATTTTACCATCGGTTAACTCTATAATGGTTTTTTTTACTTACTATTATATATTTTTTTTTGTATTAAATTGATCATATTTGATGTATGTATATACCTCATATATATATATATATATATATCGGATAATTATATTTTTTTAATGCATTTATTTGCTTTGGAGGGAGCAATGGGATATACTAGGCACACACGGAAGCAGAAATTTGATTTGAATTCATGCAAAGCTCATGCAAGAACTACTTTTTGCGTAATTCCAAATTTTTCGGTTAAAGTGGCTTCTGAGATATAATTCAAAATATAATTGTAAAGCTGAAATTTAGGGAAATCGGATCAAATTTGATCAAATAATACTCATTAAGAGAATAGTAAATCAATCTTCTCGGAGTCAATATAATATATTTGAGTTTACATACATATATACATAGGTATTGTTATAGATATACACATATATAGATACATACATAATAATAATAATTTGAGCCCACTTATTTACGCTATATAGTATATTTATTTGCAGTAAATTTCTTAAAAATATCAACAAAAATCTATCAATGTACATATATTATATATTTGATATATATACATAAATCTTCTAATGCCTTTAACAATCGAAAATCTTTCAAAATTTGATTACCGTTAAGTTTTCGAAGTCGATTTTTAGGCATCAATTTTAATATTCAACAATATAAAGATTTATATTTATATATTATCACTGACCAGAGAACCACTAACCAGAGAGACGGATGGACGGACGTGTGTGTGAGTAAGCAGAAAGACGCGAAATATGATTGAAATAGCTATTGCTCGAAGGGTCCAGGGGATCTCGTAGTCGAGCAGTCTCGACTATAGCTTTTTTACTTGTTTCTTTACTGATCAATTGGGTGAATATTCTTATGTTGGTGTTCAATACTTTCAATGTTCTTTGAATATAATAACTTTAGTATTGAACCATACTATTTTTGTTCACTCGCAAAATATATACATATTCAAGAAAACGAATGAATATTTTTCACTGTTTGAAAATTTGCCGGCAACCTATTAATTAAAACATATTTAGTTAAGACATAAATTTTCGTACTACATGCATCTTCACGCCCATTCTGCACAAGATCGAGCATGAGCGCATCCCACCCATTCCCTATCCGTACGGCTCCCGCGGCCCCACTGAGGCCGATCGCAAGTGCGTCGAGAATAACTTCATCTACTCGGCGTCCTACAAATGGCATGGCAATAAGGCGGATGCATCTCATCTTTGATTTGGGACTCCATGGGATCCATTGGCTTTTTGGTGTTTATGTTGATCATTAACTAACTCTAGCGACATTTATACATATACTCTGCATATATATCTATGTATATATATGCATATAATAGGCGTTTTTTTTTTATTATTTTACCATCGGTTAACTCTATAATGGTTTTTTTTACTTACTATTATATATTTTTTTTTGTATTAAATTGATCATATTTGATGTATGTATATACCTCATATATATATATATATATATATATCGGATAATTATATTTTTTTAATGCATTTATTTGCTTTGGAGGGAGCAATGGGATATACTAGGCACACACGGAAGCAGAAATTTGATTTGAATTCATGCAAAGCTCATGCAAGAACTACTTTTTGCGTAATTCCAAATTTTTCGGTTAAAGTGGCTTCTGAGATATAATTCAAAATATAATTGTAAAGCTGAAATTTAGGGAAATCGGATCAAATTTGATCAAATAATACTCATTAAGAGAATAGTAAATCAATCTTCTCGGAGTCAATATAATATATTTGAGTTTACATACATATATACATAGGTATTGTTATAGATATACACATATATAGATACATACATAATAATAATAATTTGAGCCCACTTATTTACGCTATATAGTATATTTATTTGCAGTAAATTTCTTAAAAATATCAACAAAAATCTATCAATGTACATATATTATATATTTGATATATATACATAAATCTTCTAATGCCTTTAACAATCGAAAATCTTTCAAAATTTGATTACCGTTAAGTTTTCGAAGTCGATTTTTAGGCATCAATTTTAATATTCAACAATATAAAGATTTATATTTATATATTATCACTGACCAGAGAACCACTAACCAGAGAGACGGATGGACGGACGTGTGTGTGAGTAAGCAGAAAGACGCGAAATATGATTGAAATAGCTATTGCTCGAAGGGTCCAGGGGATCTCGTAGTCGAGCAGTCTCGACTATAGCTTTTTTACTTGTTTCTTTACTGATCAATTGGGTGAATATTCTTATGTTGGTGTTCAATACTTTCAATGTTCTTTGAATATAATAACTTTAGTATTGAACCATACTATTTTTGTTCACTCGCAAAATATATACATATTCAAGAAAACGAATGAATATTTTTCACTGTTTGAAAATTTGCCGGCAACCTATTAATTAAAACATATTTAGTTAAGACATAAATTTTCGTACTACATGCTATCAAATGAGTTGCATACATTCTCAAATAAGTTATATTGAATAAAATATAAATCATATTTTAGTTTAGTTAGTTCCACTCGATTGGTTCATTCATAGGAAATTGACCTAATGAACTCTTTAGTTTTAAATCAACTGCAATGACAAACACTTCTACATACGATAAATCGCTACAAATTATGATAAATTGATCAGTAAAGAAAATAGCGGAAAAAAAAAGCAAATTAGTTTTTAAAAAATCCAGAATTCCCGCTACCCGCTGTTTTGTAATTTTTCCCGCAATTGGATTTGCAAAAAAGCCAGATTTGACGGGAAAAAAACTGATTTGGCAACACTGGAGCAGAGAGAGCGAGAGAGCAAGAACAAAAACTGAGCATAGAGGCATTTTTCATTCAACATTTGACCATCTCGGTCGAGCGTATGAAGTGAAATGATTGTGCTTTCGTATATTTTCGTAGCCCGAACCTAAAAGTGATGAGCCGAGCAAATACGAAATTGATAGGCCCTAGGAGAGTCTCTAACAATTTAGTGAAATAGCTATTGCTCCAAGGGTTCAGGGGATCTCGTACTCGAGTAGTCTCGACTAGAACTTTCTTACTTGTCATGAATTATATTTTTATTCGAAAATTGACACACGATTATTGAGCTCAATAAAATCAATTTTCTCCTCGGCAGTCTACGAATTTTTTGTGCCAATAATATTCAAGTACTTTGGAGGCACTTTAAATAATGCTGGTTTGATTTAAAAAAAAAAAAAAAAATGCTAAATTTCCCGCCAGCAGCTAGATTACAATTTTTCCTGCAATTGGCAGTTGAAAATGGCCAGATCTGGCCGGTAAAAGGCTAAGTTGGCACCCCAGTAGGAGACCGATTTTTCGGTGTTGAAAAACTTTGTACTACATGTCTAGTCTATGCGTTCGCTGGTCAGTGGTCATATAGTATACACATACATACATACATATATACACAGCCTCGAGCACAAATATCGATAGCCCAAATGGATTTGCTTATCAATATTTGTGGACGAGTCAACATTTGTCTTTATCTCTCTGCTTAAATGACTTAAAAGAATGCGTAATTATGTGATGGAATATGAAGCGCCTCCGACATACATACATACATACATGTATTGCAAGGAACAGAGAGGGAGAGCGAGAGATGTGATCCAGATGCATCATGGCAGGCTCACATAGCCTGTGACTTTGACTGGCTGAGTGGGCTGCATGCAAATGTAGCCTGAGGGATTGGCCAGATCCGCAGCTCGTTTTGATATGCGGACATAATCCTGGGCCTGAGCGGGCACCAGTGTGTCCAGGGGTCGAAAGTTTGCATAGAGCACCGGCGGATAATGAATGCGGGCGTCCAAATTCGTCTGCTGCTCGTGCTCCTTCTGCCGCTCCTCCCGCTGCTGCTGCTCCTGCTGCATATGTGGGGTCAGAAGTGGAAGCTCCTGCCCCACTGCCGTTTGCGCCGGCACCACACTCTGCAGCCCCTCGGGCAGATCCACTTTAATGTTGGACATATAGCGCACCTTCCGCACTAAGAAATATATGAAGCCTCCGAGTATGATGAGCGCAATGATGCCCTGGATATTGTGCACATGGTCCGATTGGACGACCGACGTCATCAGTGGCCTATGGTACCACTCCAGCCAGCTCATGCCGCCACTGCCAAACGCATCGCGGCCATCGTAATTGGCCGAGACGGCCCATTTGTAGGCATCGATGAGCAGTCCAGCCGGCGGCTTATATTGGCACTGGCTGCAGCGTTCCACCTCAGCGGACCCAATGGCCAGGCCCTCGTTACAGCGGCTACGGTCCGTTATGTTCCAGCTGCACCAGTAGACCGTGTAGCTGCTCAGCAGCATCTGCTCCTCCGGGGGATCCCAGGTGAGATGCCCCATCCTCCGGCCGGTGTCCAAGTTCTTGGGCACGCGTCGCGCCCGTCTCGGCGCGAGCAGCCAGGGTATTCGAATCCGACTGCTGTTAAGCGAGCTGCCCAACGAGTTCTGACTGCGCACGACTATCGTAAAGCTATCGCTGTTCAGTTCCAGATCGCTGATAACGGCTTCATTCGAATCGACGGCCACTTTGGCAGGACTGTCAGCAAGAAGTAGAAGAAGAGAAAGAAGATCGATAAGTTGAATGATCGATAAGTCAATATATGTATGAATTGAGAGATATATGTATGTATGTGAATGCATGTGGATTAATTGGTAAGTGGGTTAATCAAAGGTTGAGCGCTAGGAATGCAAAGCAATCGATGGTACTATCGATACTATCGATCGGGTTTACGACATCGATAGTATTTAGCCACTATCGATAGTCTAACAAATTCAAAGCTCTACCAGCTTTGAACTAGTGATGTAAATTTGAATGAAAACATCGATGTCGATGTCCATCAATGTTTTCAAAATCAAGCATCGATGTTGGATAATACATCGGATTGAAAATTCGATGCATCGATGTATTTTTTATTTTTATTTTTTTACTTATTTACTGGTGCTCTCATGACGTTTTTATTATAAAAAAAAAAAAACTTAAAAGTATTCAACACTATTTAACAAAAATAAAAAATTTAATTAAAAATGAGCTTTCATAGCAGTATTTTGCTTAAGTTCTACCTTTCAAATTTTTAACATAGGAGAGATATCTTATGCTTTCATAGTAGTTTTATACAATTCACTAAAATTAAACAGAATTACATATTATTTTAGAGGAAAAAATGTGATTGCAATTTTGAATAAATTAGGATAGGTACTTTTCATACCTTCCCAAAAAGAACAAGTAAGAAAGCTCTAGTCGAGACTGCTCGACTACAAGATCCCCTGAACCCTTCGAGCAACTGATATTTCAATAAATATTCGCAAATGCACACATACATACACGCACACACACAGACATACGTACGCACGCATAAACACGCATTGGCTGCAGTGTTGGCTTACTATGGGAACTTAATTGTTTAATAACTTTTCTTGTGGATGGACTATCTTTATGAAACTTTCAGATTATGAATATAACGTAGATATGCATGTATTTGCCAAAGCACAAGTCCCTAGTATTTGAAATACAAGTGTGAGGGTTAGGGGTGAATTAGGGGTGAAGGGTCAATTTTGACAAAAACCGAAATTGTATAAAATATAAAAATACATTTAAAATTTGGAGACTCTAGCTTTAAAGATGTAGGAGATATAAATTTATTACTGGTTTTCGATAATGTTTTTAATCGATAACAAAATAACGGGGCAATTTATCGATATTTAAAGCAAAACTCGATATGCGCGTGCTATACACGGACCTAGGAAAATAAATTTCAAATCTCTAGCTCTTATATCCTCTGAGATCGACGCGTTCAAACATACGGACAGACGGCCGGACGGACAGACGGACAGAGCTAAATCGACTCAGCTCGTCGCCCTGATCAAGAATATATATATATTTATATATTATATATATTTATGGGGTCTGCCACGCCTCCTTCTGCCTGTTACATACATTTAACAAAACCATTATACCCTGATTTCCCATTGTATATACAATACATACAGATACATGTATATACATACCTACATACATAATAATAGACTGCTCAGGTATTTAATATAGGATTTTCAGGGTATTTTCCCATTGGGCTTGAAAATTGTTTATGGTATGTATATTTAAATCTGATGACCGCATTTCCATTTACATAAGTGATTATGGCAATACCATTCAAGTATGATGAACTCAAAATTCTACGAAATATAAGTAATAAAGAATAAGGCGAATAGCGATTATGGCAATAGGGAATTAATTGCCAACCTTAGCTGGAAGCTTATCCATTGACTGATTGAGCGACTGATTGGCGGAAAGATTGGATTGAAAGATTGCATACTGAATGATGGACTGACAGATTGAATGATAGACTCACCAACGGACCAAGTAATTGAAAGAGTGAATGAGTGACTGACTGACCGACTGAATGAATGATTGACTGCTTAAAAGATTGATTGATTGACTAATGACTAGCCGACTAATAGACTATTCACAATTGAACCGAATCCAGTGATGATTGATGAACCTTCAACGAACGATCCCGAATGATTAGACTCTAAAGAGTCTGAAGATGCGTCAGAGGGAGTTACTTAGATCCAGATGCAGTCCACAATCAATCAATAAGTAAGTAAAGTGAAGTGAAGCGATACTCGATCAGTGCTGGAGCTTGCGATAATTCAAGGCAATTGAAGAGCTGACTCACATGATTTGATTCGGATCACTGGATCTTTGTACGGTCACGTTGTAGGTGAAGCGTGGACCATTGTGCTCCAGTTGTGGGAGAGGTTGCCAGTAGATGTGCAGCTCGTTCGGCTGCCTGGGATCGATGTGGTAGCCGTTTGGCCAGACGCGAGGTGGCCGTGCCGGCCGCTCTGGAAGCGTGTAGAAGCTATAGACAAAGCTAGGGCTTAAATGGGCGCCAGAATAGTTGTAGCGACGTTGCAGCTCAATTGTATAGTTCTGATATGGATGGGGCAGTCGGTAGAGGCAGACGCTCTCCCTGTTCGTCGCCTGCTTCACATCTGTCCAAAGGACGCTCGCGTTGTTGATGTTGTCGTTCAGCAGCAGCTTCGACCACACGATTGTGTAGCCGATGTGGTTTGTGGACCGCTTGGCGCTCCACTCCAGGCAGATCGATGAGCTGTTTAGGCTGGTCACATTGAAATCGGCTCCCGGCCGCTCCAGCACGATCATCTGCTCGCGCCTCAGCTGGAATCGCTGGGATTGCTCACCCAATTGGTCGTGCAGTCTCAATGTGAAATTGAAGGCCTTTTGGAAATTGTTCAGCCGGCCGATGCACTGCATCCGTAAGCCTTGCCCAACCGGCTGGCAGGCGACAGTCCGATCGTCATGCTGTAGCGTGTAGTTCGCCGTGGCGTCCACCGTATCACTCATGGGCGGCCTGCTGAAGCTGCAGTTGAATGGCGCCGGAAATTCGGCGTCCTCGAACCGGCAGCTAAAGTCCACCACCTGCAATCGCACGCCCACCGGGAAGAACGTGGAGACTATCGATGCTCCGTCGCACAGGCACTCGTAGCCAAACGCTCGACCGTGCATGGGCAGAGCCGATTGCATCTCGTGGTAAATAGTCGTGTCATTCAGGATGCTCACCGTTAGATTTGTTCGGCCCACCTGCATATACAATCGCTGGACTCCGCCGGCGCCGCACAATTGGTTCAGGGCGGACAGGCTGTCCGTCCAGCAGGTAACGTTGTATGAGTCGCCCTCGCGCAATTTGGCCCGGGATACCTCAATATGGAAGTGATCGAGAGCCTCGTACCCGGCCAGGCATAATGTACACCAAAAACTGGCCAAGAATAAGCTGACTAAAACAGTATTTCGCATTTCGAAATGCGTGTTTCGCATTGCCCTCATAAATACGTACATGTGTATGTATGTATATTGTATTTATATTTATGTGTGGCTATCGCTGGGCTCTATTCGTACCGCTCCGATTGGACGCAGCTTTCAAACTAATCTTCAAGCGGGGCTCGTAATCAGTTTTGTGCTCGCTCGTTAAATACATACATAGTATTCGCTGTTAATATTTGTATATATGTATGTATATTCCGAATATAATATGTATAATAATATATAATATCCGCCCACCAGGAGCACGGCGAATCGGAAAATGCATTTACCGGTAACTCAGAAACTATAGAAATTATATAGAGGCAACACCAGCTCAAAATAAGATACAACGGATATCTTTACGCCCATTTCGGGGGCAATCGGCATTTATAGTGCCCATATTGCGGAATTTATATACGTCAGCCATCTATTTATGTATTTGTACAATGTACACATACATAAATAGGCTTAATAGGCATTGATATTGATTCGATTATTCTCGATCAAAAAGTTATCGGATGAGTTATCGAAAAAATAAAGCAAACTCGTACTGCGTATGGTATACACGAGTATGCATGCCAAATTTCAGCTCTCTATCTCTTATAACTTCTGAGATCGACGCACTCATACGGACGGACGGACGGGCGGACGGACAGACGGACTATATCGACTCAGCTCGTCGTGCTGATCAAGAATATATATACTTTGTGGGGTCTGCAATGACTCCTTCTGTCCGTTACATACTTTTTCAGAAAACCATTATACCCTGATTTCCCATTTTCAATGGGTTAAGGGTATAAAAAGCCAGATTTGACGGGGAAAAACACTGATTTCGCGTCTTTTGGGTATAACGACGGCCCCTAGAGCATCGTCATAATCTCATTCAATGGAATTTTCACAGAATCCCATAACATTGGGAATTATTTAATTTTCTGTTTGAAAAATAAATAAATAAATAAGCAAAACTGTTACACATCAAAATAATAAGGAACTATAAAATTACAGAGAACTCATCGAATTACGCAGAACTCTTCAGTAAACAAATCCCTGATAAAAGACGCTGTCAATCAATGTGATTGATTGATTCGTGGATTGATTGACAGGTCCTTGGATGCTCAATGAGCAGCTGGTAAGATAACGCTTTAACTGGAAGAAAGATCTGCTGAATGGGGAAAGGGAATCGGGAGTGCCCGACTAACACATACCTTGTACTCTAAAATGGAGAACATATGTATATTATGACGAGGACTCTACACGATATATGTATCTTAAATATCATCATAATTTGTAAGAAATACTTTAAAAAAGGTAAACAACTTAATCGCTAATTTATCAATTGTTGTGGAATATAAAAATTGATAATTTCGAATAATCAAAGAAAAAAGAAAAATGGCTTTCTAAAAAATGATATATTTATATTATATTCTAGTTAATTTAATCAATTGAAATTATAAACATTGTGTGGATTAAGGATAACTTAAAAAAAAGTTTAGCTATTTTTTTTTTTTTTTTTAAATTAATTTCTAGTGGAAGACAAGTCGACAAAGAGAATAAAAATGCCAGTTTTAGTTTAGTTTTCTTTACATTTTCCTTTTAAAGTAGATAGTGTATAATATTTATATATAGTATATATATATCTTAAATTAAGTCGGCGCATTCGCGTTTGCCAATTCGTGTTACATATAATATACATATATATGTATGCATTTCCGTATATATAGTAGGTAGTCATGTAAAGTTAATTATATATATATATATATATATTTAAATATATATAGTTTTATATATAAGATAGTTCATAAACAATACTAGAACGTTATTAATTATTAAAAACTCGAAGAAAAACTAGTAACGAACAGATGACAAAACGAAAATTAAAATTTGTTTAATAATAAATGTAAAAATAAATAAAAATTAAAAAAAAAAAAAAAGAGAAAATGGTAAAAGTACAATGTTCGATGTGCAATTGAAACGTAAAAGCTACAACTTTACAGGGTGTACAAAAGGGAAGAGTATACAAATAGTTCATTAAATACAAGTGGCCGGGCTAAGTGTGTGCGTGTGTGGATGTGAATGCGCATGAATGCTAATGAGCTGTTCTATAAGTGTAAAATTCATTGATGACTGTTGCTTGCTCTACCTCTCCATCTCTCTTTCAAGGTATTCGTGTGTGTGAGTGTGAGTGCCACCGGAAGGTATTAGTAACTACCACAAAAATCTCTCTATCTCTCTCTCTCTCTCTCTCTCTGAGTGTGTGTCTGTGTGTATGTGTTGCTCTCTCTTTCGCTCGCTCTCTCTGTGCATGATCCTCTCTAGCTTTAGAGCATATGACGATTGTGCGCCAATGCATTCAGATCCTGTGGAGTCACATATCCACCAATATTTGGCTGCAATCTTTGCGGCGTTTGCTGCGACTGCTGTGCCGTTGACACAGCAGCCGTTGCAGGTGTTGGCTTGATCAAGCCATTCCGCTGCAATTGCTCCATGGCCGTATAGCCGAAGCCATTGGGCATCATCAGCGGCGTGGCAGCTAGCGTTGTCGGCATAGCTGGTCCAGTCACTCCACTCATTGGCGCTAGCGGCTTCAGCTTGTGTAGATCAGCCGCCTGCACATAGTTGCTCGTATTGAGCAGGTGCATCGGCGCTTGTGTTGCCGCCGTGGCTGCTGCTGCTGCTGCCGGAGCCGTAGCAGCGGGCGCATTTGTTGGCCGCGACTGCAGCACCTGAACAGGGACGTAGCCACTTAGGGGCATACTCAGCTGTCCATTGGCTGTGCTGGGCAATGTGTTGGCCATGCTGCTCGGCGTTGTCCAGTTCTTCATTTGCGTGGGCTTTATATAGCCACCAGCATTTGGATTTGGATTTGGATTTGAGTTTGCATTTAGATTTGGATTCGCTTGGCTGCTTGACTGCAGCTCTGTGGCGGTCATTTGGCTATCGTCGTCAAGCAGCAGTCCTTGGCTCATCGACATGTAGCTGGACGGTGGCAACGTTGTCAACGTCCGCTCCTCATACGCATCCCGTTGCTCGAGCATACCACCGCTCGAGCTGTTGGCTAAAAGCAGCTTGGAGCTCTCGTTGCCGCTGCTGAAATCTTGTGGCAAATCGTGTTGCGAATAATGCGGCAGATCGAGTCGTGTTGCAATGATGCCGATACCAACTCCCCCGCCGGCACTGCCACCAGTGCCGCCCCCATTGGAGCCATGGTCGATGGGTTTCTTGCGGGTCTCATCAATGCCAGGTGGGAGCACCAGATCGATATCGGACATCTTCAATAGCTTGCGATAGGCCATGTATGCGAATGCACAAAAGAAGATGATAGAGGTAGCCACCTCCACGGAGGTAACGAACACCTTGAAATTGTTCTGACCCGGCGAGCAGCTCACATCATGGGTGGTCCATGCGGATTTGTACAATCGATAGAGACTCGAATTGAGATAGTTTTGTATGTCGCTCCATTCGCTATCCGTCAATGGGGGCTGAGCATCGCATTTTTGGCTTTGCATTGATTGACGAGTAAACGTCTTGTCCACATGCGTTAATAGCATTGGATCCAATATCTCCGCATTCACAGCTCGCACCTTGTAAGTGAAACGGTGCAGCGGCGTACAAAGCGGCGTCTTCATTACACAGGTGAGATTTGGACGTGCGCTCACATAACTGAATGGTTGACCAATAATTGTGTTATTAGCGTTCCTCTCAATTATGACCACCTCATAGAACTCCAATCGTCCAGCCGGAAACGATGGCGGCTTCCACTCCAGCACCGTGCTCCACGGTGAATTCTCCACATGTAGCTTAGTCGGTGGCGAGGGCACTGCAAATTAAATAACAATTAGTTATATTTACATATTTATTAAAATGTAAATACTGCAAATAATCATTTAAATTCAATTCACTGAAGGATCAGTGAACGATATGTTCGCAATCATTTTTATCGATAGTGAACGATTCGTTCTGTTGAGCTTCTGTTAAGATGAGCGAACTGTTCATGAGGTTCGCTGATTAATGTTAATGGCAGGACTCAACAGCACGATATATCGATTCAGCTATTCTGAAACGATACTTTGATACGTTGAATTGTTTAAAAAATCACAGAAATGGCAGATAACTGCAATTGAATTCATTTCTAACCGAACTGGCGATTTGAAAATTTGCAAATTAAATTTAGAGAACATAATTTGAACACTTACATCCGACCGCTGTCCTGAAGCGTATCGTATTGCTTGGCTCCGAGTAGTGTATGGTCTTTGCGCGCAAACTGATCTCATATTCCGTGTAGGCAGTCAAGTTGTTTAATACATAGTGCTTCTCATTGTTGACCAGCTCGGCGGTTAAGGTGGGCACATCAAAGTAATTGGTAGTATTGTCATGAGTTATGCTGCCCCGGTATTCGACCAGCATGCCATTCGCCTTGATCGGTTGCTTCCACGCAAGATGCACACTCGAGTTGGTCACATTCAAATACATTAGCTGGCGCGGCGGAGTGGGTGCACCCTGGGCTGTACGCTGGAACAGTTCATCGCTGTATTTGCTGGCACGCTTCGGCGAATACATGGACATCTTGATCGTGTAGAAGGTATAGGGCTCTAGATTCATTATTTTATAGGATGTCGCATCTTTGGGCAGCTCCATGGTTGTACAGTTATCCGGCTTGCCGTCCGATCGCTTGCAATAGGTCAGATTGTAGCCACTTAAGATAGCCGCACAGACACCTTCGGTGCCCCATTTAACGGTAATAGATGTGTCGGTCAATTCACCAATGGCTGGATCCATCTTGGCCAGATCATCGTTACCATCGCCCGTACAAGTCACCCAATGCATGCCCGTATTCCGGCCAACAAAGTTCGCCGATACGGCCATATTCAGCGATGGCGATTGTCCACTGGCCGTGCTATACTCCAAGCGATCCGGAGAGACATGCTCGAAGTGAATGGTGCCATTGCACTTGGACAGGAGTGCTGGCTTTGCATTGCACCAGAACACCGTATAATCGATCAATCCCGAGGTGTTCTTCGGTGGCTTCCAACCAAGCGTATAGCTGGAATTGCTCGAATGATAGACACCCTGTATTTTCAAAGGCATACGCAGCCGCCTATCTTCGCTGCTGATGCTAGGTATATAGAGCCGGCTCGCCTCCAAAGAAGTGCCCATGATGTTGCTGCTCCGTATGAAGACCTCGTAATGTGCATCCCGTTTCCAATTGTCAATCGTCGCCGAATTTGTATCCACTTTTATCTTGGAGGCATCGCTGTCAATGAGAAAGAGCCGAGAGACAAAGTTCAACAAAGGTCAATGTGACAGAAATTTCAGCTTATGTTTCAGTCAATTCACTTGAAATATGTAATATAAGTTATATGAATCTAGCTCCTAAAAATTAGATTAAATTATCGATTTTTATCGATAATAAAGAAAAGTATTTTCCAATTGACTTTCAAATATGGAAAGTAAATAACCAAAATAAAATAAGACTATCGCACCAGCCGTGACAGACTTCATAATACTCATTCATGACCACAATTGCATTTCCTTATAAAGAAACTTTTCAAATGTCAGTTATAGTTAGAGTTATAGTATAGAGAAGAAGGAAGGTAGAACACACATATGCACATATACATATATGCACACACATATACAAATGTACATGTATTCCCATGTTCAAGCCTCTAGACGGGCAGCAGACAACTCTGATATACCCCATTTCACTGCGTGAACGAGTATACATCCATTTATTTGTCTGTTATATGTATGTATGTAGCGGAGACCATTAATTGGGAAATTCCAGAACTAATTATTTTCTATGTATTTCGTTCTTATAAAATTTTGATATCAATGCATAGCTCTTCAAGCGAAAATCTTTTCAAATTCAACTTCTGTTCTAAGTAATTGAGATAACGAAACAATTTTTCGAATATTAACGAGAGATACAGACAGACAGGCGGACGGACAAAGCGACTTATGCTATACCTACATGCAGACATCTATAGATACATATGTATATACAGACATATGTATGTATATGTGGAGATAGCTACGTAGCACGTTAAAAATTTCTTGAAAATTGTTTATTTTTAAAAATTCTTTGAATTTTCGTATGTTTGGTTGAGCATTCATTACGTTCCTGCAATGGGTATGTGCCGTTTAATAAGAAATGCGCTTTTATAATGTAAAAGCAAGCAAGTGGAGGAGCAACAAATTGAAGGCAAATCGACGTACAGATACCCTAGCTGAACACATGCCATGATATGATATACATATATGTATATAAAAGGATCAAAAGTTATGCCTATTTAATATCTGTCTGATTATTTTTAGGTAACTTTTCTTTCAAAGCGCAGAATCGTCATTGAACTGAAGATATATATAGATACAAAAGAAATTATTTCCGGAGCACTTCTATATTAGATCACTTATATTTATCGTATATATATTCCTAACCAGAATCAAAACTTATGTGTTTAGTTCTTAGCCAACATTTATATATATCTGTAACAAACTTGATAACTGCACAGCTATGCCACATTATTAGGGTATAACATATGAATGCTTTAGCTAGATGAAAATTAATGGAAATTTCTCAATGTTTCAGTGCAGTTCCGCATCAGGCATGCGACCAGATGTATTTGTATCTCTATATGTACATAAATACAAATTTAGGTATTTATGTGTATGTATGCATGTGGGTTCATACATATGCATGTATATGTGCATGTGCTTACATTCATGTATTTAGTTCTAATTCGACTTAAATAACGGCGCTTTGTTGCAATTTGAGAATCAGAGTACGTACATGCATATGCACATATATACTCACACACATACACATACATATGTATGTATTTATAGCTGTAGCTCGCTAATTGGAACGAGCAATTATTAAAATTGCCCTAAATTAAGATTTGTAGCTAAGCTCTTCCTGGAGATGTTGCTCTAAGTCATAGTATAATAAGTATACTTGGCTAATATTGGTAGTTCTGTATAATTAATGTTTTATATATGTACATAAGTATAAAAGATACAAATATGTATGTAGGTGTAAGTATACGCGAGTTACAAATATAGTCCTAGGAATATAGCTATCATTATCAGTATAAATATTAGTATCATCAGCATTTCAACTTTTGGATTTTTTTATCAATAATTACAGGGTATATAAACTGTTTACTAACAAATCACAAAAAGCAAAACAAAAGAAATGGCACATTTCCAAAATATTAACAAGGTGGCAACGCTGTGTGCAGCCATTGTAAACAAACATTCAAAATCTCATCAGATTCACACGAATACAAGAAAAAATAAAACAAAATTTAAATTGAACTTTGCAATCGTTACACTGAGGTAAAGAAACAAAGCGTTGCCAGACTTTTGTATTTTGCACTGCGGCAGTTGTTGTCAAGAAATATAAGTTTACACGATGCATCTAACCGTGATTAATTATCAATTAAATGGAAGTAGAAACAAACAATTCTCTAGAAATAGGAAACGCTTGAAAAACGAGCTTTTCGCGTTAATCATTTTTATAGCCATATATACGAATGTGTACATGCATGTATGCATGTAGTTCATAATTGAAAATAAACATATCATTTCAATATTAATTTGCGAGAAAACAACAACAAAATCACAATTCATGACCATGTTATTAATAATATTTATGTTTGTGTTCATTCATGTGTGTGTGTGGTTCTGTATATATGTATGTATATTGGCTAATAATGATAAAATGCTTATCATATTTACTATTAGTAAAAATTCATTAATACCTGGAACAATTATATGAAAGTATTTACTAACCAATCGCAAAAACGTAAACGAAATCGGTTCAAGTGATAATGCAAGCTAAAAGAAACTTTTAATTGCACATTCTAGGGGTTAATCGTGTAAACTTTGTACTTTCAATCGAAATTGTGAAAGCCTATCAAGCTTATCATGACTTCGTTACCTCGTGTAATTCTAATTATCACGACAAGCTTTATGACTTGCATATAAATAAACGCATTTAGATATAATGATAAGGCTAAATGCCGGTCCATGTTTATAGTCGGAGCTTGGAGAAAATAAGGTATCGTGTAAACGCAACTTTCGAGATCAGCATGGATCAAGTCAAATCTAGAGCAGCCTCTTACACTTGTGTGTTATAGATCATATATTGATAATTTATATTTATATATTTCATGATTTCAGTTTATCGTGTAAACGTACTTCAAAGTAGTTTACTATTTATCAGCTAATCATGTTTCATGTTTATACACCAAATCAAGTTTAGCTTTAAAGTTCATCGTGTAAGCGAATTGAATGTTTTACTCACCTGATGGTATCATTGCATCGAATCTCGCTAATAACATAGGTAAAGTTGTCTCCATTCATCTCATGCTTTTGCAGCTGCTCCCAGTAGAGGGTGAGCGATGACTCCGACGAGTAAACATAGAAGCTGCCGTTGGTTACGCGCGGCGGCCGTGCCGGTCGCTCAGCAGCTGTGCGAAATTCATAGTTGAGCGGCGGACTCCAACGGGATTTGGTTTTATTATTGCGCACGCGCAGCTCCAACAGATAATTGTAGCCGGGATATGGCAGTTCAGTGAGACAGAGCGTATCCTTGGCGGCCGATGAATTATTGCGCCACATCGGACGCACCAAGGTGGGAAAGTTTTCAGGTGTGACAAAGACACGCCAGAGGACGCCGCCAACGAAATTGCTACGCCGCGGTGTCTCCCACGATAAACAGATCGAGTCCTTGGTGCGATTGAGCAGCTTCAAGTTTTGGCCAGGACGCGCAAGGACCATGCGCTCCACATTATTCACTTCGATATCCTGGCTGGCATTGCCCAACGTGTTGGCAATGTCCAAACGAAAGAAATAGATTTGCGAAAACTTCTTATACTGTTCGCTCGTTATGTTGCAATTGACCACGGGCGCCGCATCAAAGTTGCAATCGACATAGTAGCGATAATTCGTATTCTTGTCCGTTGTAAAGCTGATATTGTATTTAGTATTAATGCTATTCCTGGGCTCGGTGAAATTGCAAAACATGTAGTCCCAATCGTAGCTGGTGCAATTGAAATCTTGAACCGGCAACGGCTTGGTGCCGACATCCACCTTCGATGAGAACATGCCCATCTCTTTGCACATGCACAGATATTCGCCCTCCTGATCGGACATATTCTTAAAGGACATCATTATGGTGGTCTCGTTGATAATTTGCAGATCGCTGCCATTGAAGTAACGCACAGCATCATTGATATTCGCCTTGAAATACAAATCGTTCACCCTGCAGGTCTCATTTGTTTTTGACGAATCGAAGAAGGCCTGATTGATGGTGCAGGTGATATTCAGATCGCTGCCAACGGGCACCTCCGCCTTCTCCGGCACCACCCATCCGGGCGACGGAGGCTGTCCGTTTAGGCCCACAATGCAGCAGGCTAAGATAATAGCGAGCGCAAATGTTATTTGTTGCATTTTTGTTTCTTTGCAATCATTGATTTGCATCTGCAATAATATACCAAAATTTACATGCATTTTACTATAAGTATACATATTTATTTATTAATTTATTTAAATTGGCCCACACTTTGTACACACAAACACAATCATTTATTTGAAGTAAGTACACACCTTTGCTTCGATAGACAAGAAAATACCTGGGGCACGGGTACGAGGCACTTGTTGGCACTGGTATTGGTAGTTCTCAGAAAAACCGTTTTATATATGTTACCCAAAAATTCCAAGAACTGATTTTTATGGCATTTTGATTCGTGTGCTTGTACCAATTACAGCTCTTTCGTTTCAATGCCCAAGGCAAAAATTGGTGTTTAACGAACGTTTAGTTTTTATATTTGAATAACTATAATCAACGTATTTTGTTTTTTTCGTTGTTTATTGTGGCGTTTTAATAAACACATGCACACGATCTCACTACTCAACCGTTTGCTTTGCCTTATGCGTTGCCTTTTGCTTGTCGTTTGCTTGGAATCTCAACCAGTGTGGCCGGTCAGCATTACAGCAACACTGGTATTTTAACGACAAAAAATACATTATATACGCAGAAATAAATTTAAATTATTTTCCTAATTAAATTCAAATATTTGATCACTTAATATGCAATTTATTACATATATAATAATAAAAAAATTATTTTGTAGTAATATTTTACATATTTAAAATGTTACAATTTCGATTTCAGTGCATTGAGCTTTAAATTGAATATTTTTTCAACTGCGCCACTCAAATGTAAATTGGAGTGTGTGTGTGACCACAGTATAAGTATTTTAGTGTGCATTATTGATTGTTCGCCGTTGGTCACACTTACTCTGTATGTGACATATATATGTATATATATGTGTGTGTGTGTCGTATGTGAGAAAGTGACGAATTACTTTTCATCAAATGGAAAATAATTTATTTTGAAAGCACGTATAAATTTCAATAGGCGATCACAAAAAAATATATATATAGAAAATAAAAAAATTGCAAAAAAAAACATTGTGAGAACATAGCATTATATTAAGAACGCATAAAACTAGCGCGAAAAAAACAATATCAAAATGGCCGAAGGCGGTAGTAAGCGCATCAACGTGGTAGTTAAAACGCCAAAGGACAAGAAAACTGTTGAAGTCGATGAAGATTCTGGAATAAAAGATGTGAGTATTTGTATTTGTGAGTATGTGATGGTACATGGTTAACGACGAGGGCAGGGGCAGTCTAATGAAACATAATTATTGCGGCTAAGCACTGTCCGGAGGGGTGGGCACACTTGTCTTCTGTGCACCACGTATTTGTGTGCATGTGTGTGTGCGTGCCTATAATTGAAGGTACAGTGCATTTTTTCTAGAAAGGATGGCAAAGTGCAAATAATGTATATGCATGTGTATGGGTGTGTGTGTGTGTGTCATTGTATGTAAATATTGATGATGATGGGGCAACATTGTTCGTTGTTTTTCTTTACATTTTGCAATTAAAATTGAATTGTTTTTATTGGTGCTGACTTATAAAATTCTTTCTTTCAAATAGTTCAAAATTTTGGTGGCACAAAAATTTGAGGCTGAACCGGAGCAATTGGTGCTAATCTTTGCTGGTAAAATCATGAAGGACACCGACACCCTTAAGATGCATAACATCAAGGACAATTTAACAGTACATCTCGTTATCAAAGCGCCCACACGTACGAATGAAGCGCCGGCACGTGCACCGGCCGATGTACGTCAGACACCGTTTGGCCTGAATCATTTTGGTGGATTGGCTGGTATGGAAGCACTTGGAGCCGGGTCGAATACCTTTATGGACTTGCAGGCGCGCATGCAGAATGAATTGTTAAATAATGGAGATATGTTGCGTTCACTGATGGATAATCCGCTGGTGCAGCAAATGATGAACAATCCCGAGACTATGCGTCAGCTGATCACATCGAATCCGCAAATGCAGGATTTAATGCAGCGTAATCCAGAAATTTCGCATATGCTTAACAATCCTGATCTGTTGCGTCAGACAATGGAGTTGGCGCGCAATCCATCGATGTTGCAGGAGCTAATGCGTTCGCATGATCGTGCTATGTCGAATTTGGAATCGGTGCCAGGTGGCTATAGCGCATTGCAGCGCATCTATCGTGATATACAGGAGCCGATGATGAATGCGGCAACCGAATCCTTTGGACGCAATCCGTTTGCCGGTCTAGTCGAGGGCGGCGGTGGCGGTACTGCCGGAGTTAATCCACAGCAAGGCACGGAGAATCGCAATCCGTTGCCAAATCCATGGGGCACCGGAGGCGGCAATCGAAGCGGCACCAATTCCAACTCCCAAAGCAATAATTCGGGCCCAAACAATCAACGTGGCGGGGATCAGCCACCAAACAATGTACTCAATACACCGGCAATGCGTAGCCTGCTTCAACAGATGGCCGATAATCCAGCATTGATGCAAAATCTATTGAACGCCCCCTATACACGTTCGATGATGGAATCGATGTCACAGGATCCAGATATGGCGTCACGTTTACTTAGTACCAGCCCCCTGTTGGCGAACAATCCACAGCTGCAGGAGCAAGTGCGACAAATGATGCCTCAGTTTATGGCACAGATGCAGAATCCTGATGTGATGAACATGCTAACCAATCCGGAGGCAATCAATGCCATCCTGCAGATTCAACAGGGCATGGAACAGCTGCGTAGCGCTGCACCGAATCTAGTTGGCACACTGGGCATACCGCCGCCGCCACCGGGCGTCAATAACACTGATCCGGCTAGCGGCGATGGCACCACAACCACAAATTCCACTAATAGCGCCACCAATGCCAGCAGCATTAATTCAACAACGCCGAACAATGCTAGTGCCGCAAATCCACCATTGGCACCCGGCGGCGGACCCAATGCCCAGCTCTTTAACGATTTCATGATGCGCATGCTCAACGGCATGTCCAACAATGCAGACAGTACGCAGCCACCGGAGGTGCGCTACCAATCCCAACTGGAGCAGCTCGATTCCATGGGCTTTGTCAATCGCGATGCCAATTTGCAGGGTAGGCTGACTAGATATCTAAATATATAGCTAATTATGTGCATATATAGATGTATATCTATATAAGATGATATTTGTACAGTTGATAATAATCCAGCAGAGTGTAGATTAGTTTAAGACAGTCTAACACTTGTTGTATAGTTATAGGTCGTAAAGGCAGGCGTATATATTTAGTTATATACCAATCATGTACCACTAATTTCATAGACAGTTAATCTCATTGTACTCGTATGTATTTGGGTAGTGAAAGATCAGCTTGATCATATAAATCAGATCAAAATGCCAAGCATATTAATATACTCCCATATATATTTAAAAAAAAATAAGAAAAAAAAAAAAAAAAAAACTATATATATATGATAGCTATATGTATCATATAGGTATACTCGTTAGTCGATTAATCTTTCTGCTTAACCACGTATGTTCCAGTCCAGTACAGTTGCTTATCTATATGGTTAACTTATATCTGTCAATTTTGTGTGTAGCCTATAAGTCAGCACTTGAGTGAAGTCAACTCTTACTAGTCTATCCTTAGCTCAAAAGCCCAACTGTATCTATACATTATATATATACGTATATATCTCTCGTATCACTTTGCAAACGAATTCGAGTTCTCTCAGTTCTGTGCTCTGCCTCTTGTGTATCGAGCTAGTATATATATATAGTTGTTCTATGAATAATCTTTAAAACAAATTGAGTGCATTATAGTCTAATCTAAACTCATTTAAACGAACGAGTCAGTAAATCTATTTATAGAAGAGGATGTAAAGTGTGCTTTATAAAGGATTATAATCTAATTTAAACTGATCTATATTATATATAAAGTTAATTGAAGTTAGACAATTTTCTGCTGCAAGAGTATTTCAACTGTACACAGATAACTAGCTATATATATATTCAAATTTATATCCTAATCTGTACTATATATACTCATCCGATCTCTTTCTCTCTCTCTTTATCGACAACAGCTCTTATTGCAACTTTTGGGGATATCAATGCAGCCGTGGAGCGTTTGCTGTCGCTGAATCAGTTGTCCCTGAGTTAACATTGTTAAGGCGAATGCCTCCTGTACACGCCAATATCGTCTATATATCTATGTCTATATATTTGTATACGTATATATATATGCTTTGTCTAGGTATACATATATATATATTTATATAAATATATATATCTATATATATGTGTGTGTGTGTCGCCATGGGTGTGTGCGTGTGTGCGGCTGTGGGTGTGTGTGCATATAGAATAGTAATTGCTAAATCGCGAATTGATTGACGGAGAAACAAATGAGGTGCCACGCCCCCACAGAAAGAGGCTAACAGCGGAGCTGTTGTGTTTGCTGATAAACCTTGACACACACATACACCTTCATATATATATATATATATATGTAATAAAAAAAAAAATAAATATATATACATATATATAAATATATAACAAACACACAAAACAAAACACACACACACAGACAAATCACATACACACAACACACACACATCTAGCGTAAGCAATTGAGATGAAGAGGAATATTTACGCCTGGAAGCCTATAAATTAATTACACACACACAGACACACATAATTTTGCTTCAAAATTTCCACAATACAAAGGATACAAAAAAGAACATAAACCAACTACAAAAAGAAAAAACAAAAATGCTAAAAAAAAAAAAAAAAAATTCATAAAATTATATATATATATGTATGTATGTATATGTAATAATTATATTTACAAAGAATGAAAAGAAACAAAAATAAGAACAAGCCAAAGTCTGGGGCAGAGCAGCGATATTGTTAATAACAATTGATGTGTGGCTATATATATAGGATTTCAAGGTGGGCCAAGGAAATCAGAAGCTACAAACAAGTTTCTAATTCAAATTGTTTAATATATAGTCAACAATTATATATATATAAATATATATATAAAATTTTTTTTTTAAATAATTTTAACAAACTTTCATTCTGTTTTTATTTGTTGATGTACATTTTCTATAAAAAAAAAGAAAAACAAGATATATATACATATATATATATATATCAAAAATTCCACGGTGTTAAAAAAAAAAACAAAACCAACAAAAAGACGTAAAATTTAAATTCCTTAGTACGAAAGAAAGCAAATAAATTTTTTGTCATAATTTGCGGGTCGATGGTAGCAAGGGGGAGCTATATAAACATATATCTATTTTTTTTTCCAAGGGAAGCTTAAAGGTGCGTGTTCCAAATTTAACATTAAAAATTTATATGCAATATAACATATATAATATATATGTGTGCAAAAGTTGGCAAAGGACACGGCGCTACATAAGTTGCAAAGAAAAAAAAAAGAAAATATATTTAAAAAAAAGAAGAAATAAAAAGAGAAAACAACAAAAAAAAAACTTATTCGTTAGGAAAACTACGTTTACGTGTTTCTGTGTGAAAACCTAAAAGAGTAAAATAAAATAAATGTAAATGGTAAAATGTTTTTCAAAAATTGGAAAGGTCGACTGCCTCAACTTTTAATCGATAGGTGGCCACGTTCCTGTTCCTTCAGTGGCGGTGCGCTTCTTTGATCTGGTTCGATAAATGCATGATTCTCAAATCAAAAGCTGCTGGGTTAACATTAAAGCGTTGCCACACATCAAAAAAGTCCTTAGGACTTATTAAGGGAAAAATAAATACGTTAGAAATGTGCCCAGTTGGCATTTGGTAAACACTCGAGTGTAAGGAGCATAGCAATATAGAAAAAGCGACAGCTATACAGCAAAATAGATTAGAGAAGGAAGGAAATAGCTTTACCATTGTAAAAGCTACAAGGTTGACACGAAAATATGTATAAATATTTGTGTAATTATATAAATATACATTGATAGTACCTATTGATCGATACTGAGGATTGCCTTTCAAATAATTTGGTGTTTGACTAAATAGTAATATATGCTGCTGGTGCACAGCTTATCTCAAGCAGCATGTAAACAAAATTGTATATGATCGGTTTGATTTAGTTAGTCGTAATAAGTAATATCTTGCATAGCTCATCATGGAGATTCCAATCCGTTTCCTTCTGTAAACCTTAAAATTTTTCCAACTCAAAAAATTCCATTCCATTATAAATAAAAGAGTCGAGCTGAGTCATTTATATATTTAATTGTACGCCCTGATTTAAACGGTTTTTATTGAATTCGGCAACCAATTTTAGTATAATGCCAACGTTATGGGCTTATAGCTATTGACATGGTATTACATAGATACACTGAGAGAAAACGAATACAGTGACAAACTCGTACAAGGATATCAAAACGCATCAAATAAATATAAATATATACAAAATACATTGGAGACAAAACGCAAGTTACATGCAGAGAATTGAATTAACATGATATACACTGAAATAAATAGCTACGTGAGACGACATATCATGGTATACACTGAAACAAAAACTATACAGTAAATTAAATTGAGTGACAAATCGGACAAAATACATTGATACAAATTGTTGATCTATACACTGAAAAAAATCTGTACAGTAAGTTGAATTGAGTGACAAATTAGATGACCTACATTAGTTGTCTTTACACGGAAACAAAAATTTTACAACAAATTGAATTGAGTGACAAATTAGATGACACACACTTATACAATTTACTTGTCTATACACTGAAGCAAAAACTGTTAAGTTGAATTTAGTGACAAATTAGGTGACACACAAATTAATACAAATTACTTGTCTATACACTGAAGCAAAAGCTATACAATAAGTTGAATTGAGTGACAAATTAGACGACATACATTGATACAAATTGTTTGTCTATACAAGGTACACTGAAACATAGATACAGTAATACAGTGATTCACATGTTATACACTGAGATAAATAGATATGCACTCACACACACGCATGCAAATGAATGTTCACAAAATTGACAAAAATAACTAGAATATTGCTTAAAAGTTGACGCTGTATGAGTCTTGATTAGGTAGTTTCTGTTCTGTTCCCTCTTCTTTTTTGTGCAGTGTATCTTTCGCTGCAATTAGAGTTCCTCAAAGAAGGCGACACGCGCCTTGGTCGAACCGGATTTGAGTTTCTTAAGCGTTGAATATTTATTCTCGCCCGCCTTTATCTGCGCCTCGCTGAGTATATCCAGATTACTTTGATTCTGTTCAATTTTATGTGGTGCGATTTCACTGCGCAACGTTTGCAATTGATTTTGCACCTGTTTCTTGGACTTGCGCAGGTATTCCAAGTGGCTGCGCTCCATTTCATTGGCGATCTGTTCCATTTCATTGTCGGTTAAAATAAATTTCTTGGGCTCAAAGTCGTCGGAAATGCCGCTAGAATTATCGCCCATCACAATGTAGTGGGAGGCAGAGTTGGTTAGCTCCGCTCCCCCGGCGGTTTCCAGATCATTTGTGGAGCTGCTCGTGGTCAGCGAAGGTGTACTGATTGCCGCAATGCTTGACGGATTATTGACATTGGCCTGTGAGACCGTCGATGCCGTTAGCAGGCTGTCCGTCGACGATTTGCGCCCACTGTTGAGGAAGTTCAGCAGACGTGCGGTGGCTTCTCTCTCGGCCATTTTGGCACAGATCAGCTCCTTTTTGAGTTTCTCTGTTTCGGCCTCGCGTTTATCATTCTCCACAGTCAGCTGGAGCATATAGAAGTCGGCATCCCTGATCTTCTTCTCCAAATCGTGCTTCTCTCGCTCCACCTTCATTTGACGCTCACGCAATCGATCCATTTCTGTCTTAAAGTGATTCGCCTTGCATTCGGTCAGCTGCATTTGCTCCTCGTTCACGCGACTCTTCTCGAAGTACAGCTCCTTTGTCTCCTCGGAGCGACGCTGCAAAGGCAATTAAGATTATGATAAATATATCTATATATTGAATATAGGATCGATCAGCTTACCAGCGCATCGCTGGCCATACGCATCTCGTCCTGCAGATGCTCGAGCCGTTTTTCCAGTTCGTAGCGCTCGTGTTCCGCCTTCTCGCGAAGCTGCTTCTCCCTTATGAACTTCTTCCGTTCGATTTGGCGTCGCTGTTTCTCCTCCTTGGCCTGCGCTTTCATCTGTTGGATCTCCATGGTGTCCGGCTTGCGGCGTCTCATATAGAGATCGTGATTGCCCTTGCACAAGTCAAGTATCTGCGAATGGATTTGAGGTTATGTTAAGACATAAAATTCAATGAACTTAAAGCTATTCTCTCACCATTTTGTTAATGTGCAAGTCCTGCGAGTAAAATATAAAGTTCGACACTTTGGCATCCACTAAACGTATCGTGAATTTCTTGTCATCGAAACTAACGTGTCGTATCTCGTTCCATTGGAACGTTGTCTTTGGGGTTAGCTTGTCGCGTTCATCATAGATGTTCAGACCCACGGCCGTAACGCCCAGCCACAATTTGGTTTTATTCTTATTCTAAGATTAAGAGCATAAAATTAGGTCAAATAAGATGTAATGTATGTGAGGCTACGTTCAGATTAGTTTCTATTAGCTCGGGTAAGTTTGGAGTTATGTACGCTTCCGGAGTCGAATCCCGCCATGTATTAGTTAAGATCAACACTAAGTTCAACTTCGAGCTCAAGTTAAGGTAACACCATCGTTGCAATGTGAGTATAGTCATACACTTAGGTTAGATTCAGATAAGATTGAGGCAAGGAAGTAGAGTATATCGAATTCGAATTAATCTAACATTAAGTCTGATGTAGGGTTTCGTTGTTTGTTTAAGTACCGTGTGAGGTTAGATACATTTTCGAACTCTATTTGTGGTTAGATTACACACCGTAATAGGAAAGTAGTTAACACCATACATGTCCAGATCTTGTGCAATTTTTAGGTACTCCATTTCCACTTCATCTCGAGTCATGGGCTCATGATCCATGTACCTAGAAATTAAATTCGAAATTTAGCTGTCAAGGATTTTGTGGTATGTATGTCTTTAGATACCCACCAGGTCTTGATGCGCTCCTCCCACATTTCGGGCGTCATTTGATACTGATCTGTGACGCCCTTGGGCAGCAGTTCACCGCCGGCTAGCATGCCATCCTTGTAGGTCTCATAGTCGTAGGGCCCATATTGAACATGGACCGCATACGAAGCAAGCAGAACGGATGCCTCGGGCCGGCAATAGATGTCCATCGATAGAATGCTCTGTTTCACTTGCAAGAAGAACAAATGCTGCGTTATCTCTTGTATCAGCTCTTCGCTGACGTTCTCCGGAAAGAATTTCGCATAGAAACTGAAGACGTAAATGTTATTGTTTGCATGCAATTCGACGCGCTGATCTTTGACCTTTTTGTCCATTTTGAGCCAGGAGACATTGTTGCGCGTGTCGACATACTGCAGTCCAAAATACCATGATTCACGCAACCCAATCGTACGACAAACCAGATCGAACAACTCTTGGCCGGTGGAGCGCGTCTCCAATTCGAACTCCAGCTCCGAATCGAAGGTGCTCACGCGCACCGGCAATGAACGGTTCTTCTTCGAACCGAATGGGCTCATCCTCTACGGCGACGGCGATTGTGATTCCGATTGCAATATCGATTGTGATGTATTATTGTTCAGCTATTAACTATTTGCACATACTTATGTATGTATGTATATGTACATAAATATATATATGTATATGTATATATATTTACATATAATTGGCTATTATGTGAGGCTATTGTGTTTACTTGTTGCACTTGTCAAACATTTTCCACTTCGTTCGCATTCGCACATATTGCATTTATGTATTTGACTTTTTGTTTGTTTAAATACTGGACTGGCACTGCGAAGGCACTTAATTGAATATGTTATAACTAAATTTTGAACAATATATTACAACATTTTTACTTTGTCAAAAATAAATTGCGAGCGTATAAATAGCAACAACAAAGAATGAGTGTGGCTGCATGCATGTGTGCGATCGTGTGTATGTGTGTGTATGTCGAACGTGAATGCGTACCAATGTGAATGAGAGAGAGCGACAGCGAGCAAGAGAGTGTTCATTTGATGGTAGAAGAGCGAGCGAACGCTTATTGCACTATCACAATTGAAAAAGCCAACAGTAACGTTCAATACGCCAAAGCACAGTGGTGCGCAGTCCTAAAAACAGTCCCAAGGGGAAAATTCAACAAAAGAAATACGTGCAAACATTTTTTTTTAGAAAAAAACCTATAATACTTTATTAACAGTATTGCTGCTTCATACATGGCTTGTTTATCGTTAACTTAAGTGTATTGTATTGAAGTTAAAGACTCCAGCACACAACTCTAGAACAATTGTAACGTCTATTAAACATAGTTAACAGATTTAACAAATGTTGCGTGTGTGCAGAAAAAAATTTGAAAAGTCTTATGGTGTTTATGTGTACGTAGGTATTTCAAAATTACTAACTATATATGTTTTACCGCTTTCATATTTTCTTGTTGTTTTGTCTTGCTTGTAGAGGTTTGTATTTAACAGTTGTTATCGTTAGCTAAAGCTTACTTTTAATTTTACATACATACACAAATATACATTTCAATATATTTCGAACACATTTTGTCTCAATTCGCAGAGCTTTGAATGCTTACAATATTTAAACTGTTTTTTGGAGCTTCTTATAAATGAACCTTTAAAGATAGAAGATCGGCTAAGTAATCCATCTGAGTTTATTTCTTTGAATTATTGGCACTATCAGCTATCATATTGTTATTTATTCTGTTAACGAATGGTTAAGGCAAGCGATTTGATTATTCCTTGTTCATTTTTGTGTATGGTGTTATCTATTATGTTTATATGAGATTTGAATTGATTTCTTGGTTTTCTTTTGTATCACCTTGAGTAAAGCGTGTTGTATGCACATTTATTCCTATAATTATCGTTTGTCTTAGAGCATTAAGTTGAATCCACTTGTGTTCTATAAAATCTTAGTGATTGTGTCGCTTAACACGTTCAACGTGCAAGTCATATAACATTTTGTTCTTCTCATAATAGTATGGATTTTGATCAGCATTCAACTCGGGATTATAATCATATATGCCACCGCCGACCACTTCTGCAGGACTAATTCCTCCATTTTGGATCGTTGGTAATATATAATTATTATTATCATTAATAAGATTTGGTATGCTGCAGTTGCTACTGCTGCTGCTATTCCCATCGTCGTAGTTTAAATGCAGATTGTTGATACGCTTGGAAAGGGGGGTCGATTCGCAAGGTAGATCATCTTCCCGACTTCGTTTTCTGAAAATATTTGTATATGTACATAAATATAATTCAGGTAGGTATAGATATTTCTATAATTATATATCTATATCTACATTATAGATTATATATATGTAAATATATATATATATATATATATATATTTTTTTTTTTTTTTTTTTTTTTTCAGTATTGATGAAAAATTTGGCCATGAATTAAATAAACTGCAGGTCACTGTAATGGTGTTCTTGCATATGTACGTTTCTCAATTTATGCATGCGCATGACTGCATTAAGTCGTAATTGACATTACTCGATTGGTTGATTTACTTAACTATTGGTTAATAAATTTCATACCTGTTTCTTAAGAACCCAGCCATTTTAATGTCATTCCAGTCGGTTGCAACTTTTTTGGTCAGTGCCTGGCGATTGTAATATTGGTCGCCCACTTTGTTGTCGCTGGTCCTCCTCCTCTCTTATTCTTGTTCTAGATGACAGATGAGAGAGTTGCATTTAATCGGAGTGGCAACATTGTATCATAGTGCTGCCATTTATAAACGTCAAAATTACGATAGCGATTGTCGCAGTGGCAACCCTGTGCTTCGTCATTCGCACGCATACAGATTACTATTGCTGCAAAGAACGACCACACAAAAGAAAAATAGTAGTTTTCTATACGAATCGACGCCCAACCCAGCCCAAAAAAATAGCGAAAACTAAACAAATATATCTGCCGATTTCAATTTAGATCAGTTGTAAGTAAAATTTCGTAAGCCAACGCAAGGGCATGTCTTTATTAACTGAACAAAAAACTAAACCAATACATCTGGTGCGCCAATAAAGAGAAAATTCTGTCGAGTGAAAAGTGACGAAAAATGTTAACGATGACTGCTTTAGCTGCTAGTGTCTGCTCTATACGTCAGTGTGAGTCTGTGTGTATGAGTGTACGTCAGTGTGTGTTGCTGCAAACGATTGGCTCAAATTTATTCTTGCTGCTGGCAAAATTTTCGAAATGTGAACATAATTTGTGCATTTCGTTTTGCCTGGCTTTCTATTAATTATAAACTCCCCGTACGTGTGAGTGTGTGTGTGGGCGATGCAAAACAATATGCGCATATGCATGTGCCTGCATGCATGTATGTGTGTATATTTATACACCAGTGCATTTGTGTCAAAATAAATTAGCATATTGGCTGCAGCAAAACTACGTTTAAGGCACACACGCGCGCACTTAAATACATATGCATGCGTAAACGCTATCAATGTGTGTGTGTGTATGTGTGATTCGGTTATGGCAGGGGCCACTGCATATTTCATATTAGAACTGCCTGCGCGCTTATCTAGGCACTTTGTGTATGTGTGTGTGAATGCCTGGTGTTGTTTTTTCTCTCTTTATTTTTCTTTTATTCTGCACGCACACATGCACAGCTTGAGTCATCGCCTTTGCCTGCGGCTCTCTGCTTTATGCTCCATTAAAAGGAAGCCGGCGGTGACGGCGACTGCGACGACGATACCCGGCTGTCTCATGAGTGTGTGTGAATAGTAGGATGTAAGTGTAAGTGTGTGTTCTCTGTGTACAAAGTTCCACAAATACAACTCACACGCATAGATAAGACAATAGTTAAGCAAAAAAATAAAATATAATAAAATTACAAGTAAATGGCAATATGCGTCTCGCCACTGATATGAAATATTTTTGCAGAAACTTACATATACATATGTGTTTCTTTTGTAAATAATATGTGTGAGTGTTTGTGTTTGGGTGTGTGTTGATAATAACAAAGCGCACTCCCAAATGAGCCAATGCACCCCCTCTCATCTCCTACCCTCGCCCATTCTGATATTTAACCACCCTGCGACTGAAGAACTTGACAATCACTTGGCCGGGCAAGGGCCTTCCCTTATTTCCACGCCCACGCGCCTCTTTGCGAAAGTAATTAAGCCATATGAGAGGGCACACAGACACACACCCATACATTTGTATTCATATTTACACACATGACTGTATGGGCTACAGTGAAACCAGTGAAGAGAATAGCCTATAGAGAGCATGCTTTGGCAATCTTAGCTGTATGAATCACTTGACTCTTTGGCCTACAGTGGAACCTGTGAAGCTTGGCAATTGATGTGGCGTCGCTCTTAGGCATATGACATGCGTGTCGACAGATGAACCTTGCATATTGAGTGCTTACGGCTTGCTTCGATTTATCATAAATAGCATGTATTGATATATGTTTTGGAATTCGCAGAAATCGCGTAAAAAATAACTCGTACGGCATGCAAACCATCAAGTGCGTGGTAGTTGGCGATGGAGCCGTGGGCAAGACCTGTCTGCTTATATCGTACACAACCAACAAATTTCCATCAGAGTATGTGCCAACTGTATTTGACAATTATGCGGTGACCGTTATGATCGGCGGTGAGCCGTATACGCTGGGACTCTTCGATACCGCCGGCCAGGAGGATTACGATCGATTGCGTCCACTGTCATATCCACAAACGGACGTCTTTCTTGTCTGCTTCTCGGTGGTCAGTCCCAGTTCCTTTGAGAATGTCAAAGAGAAGTGGGTGCCCGAGATAACGCACCATTGTCAAAAGACGCCGTTCCTGCTGGTTGGCACACAAATCGATTTGCGCGACGAGACGAGCACGTTGGAAAAACTGGCCAAGAACAAACAAAAGCCAATCACATCCGAGCAGGGCGAGAAGCTGGCCAAGGAGCTGAAGGCAGTCAAATATGTTGAATGCTCGGCCCTCACGCAGAAGGGACTGAAGAATGTATTCGATGAGGCAATTCTGGCCGCCTTAGAGCCGCCAGAGCCGACCAAGCGGAGGAAATGCAGGTTCCTCTAATTTCTTTTGTATCCATTCGTTGTTTGTGTGTATTTTTTTTAAATGGTTTTTTTTCGGTTGCTTCCCTTTTTTTCTCTGCTTCGCTCTCAAAGGAATCAAAGAAAGCCCCCATATATAGCTATATATATATTTACTCATATGTATGTATATATATATATATATATATATATATATTTTTTTTTTTTCCCTATATTTTCTTTTTTAAATTGTTTTTTTTTTCCTTTCTCAAATTTGCTTTTTAACCAGTGCTCTATCTAAGCCAAACCTTAAAACTTTTATTATAAAACTATATAATTATTTATATATATATATATATAAACATATATATATATTTCGTATCTAAACTCTCTGTCCCCTCCATATTAAGATAAAAGAGAAAACAATAAATAGTAAAAAAAAAAAAAACAAATTATTTATATTAAGAGAAGCAAAAAGAGAAAAACAGAAAAGCAAAACTAAAAATTAAAAATAAAACAAACGTAAACAAAACAAAACTGAAAACTTGTGCAGATTTGCATGTTTTGCATAAATTTAACTATATATATATGTATATGTATACTATATATAAATATATGCATATATTGATGTGTGAAAGAAGAAGAGCTGCTCAGAGCAATAGTAAAATCAGCGAGCAGAGAGAGACAACAAATCGTATTTATATATATATTACATATATTTATATATATATAATCATAAACAATATGTCTACCAATTGTTTACAAACACACACACACACACACACGCAATAAATAACGGTACACAAAATATAACTAAAAAATATATATATAATAATGAAAGCTATGCGTAATGTATGTAAAACGCAATTATGTAATAAACAAAACAAAAATTAAGAGTATTGAAATATATAAGTAAAACGTTGCAAACGACAACACAAAAATAAATAAAAAACATATTTAGAAACACAAGAAAATACAAAAACAAAAAAAAAAAAAAACAAAAAAAAACTAAACTCTATATAAGTAATCCAAACAAAAACAACAAGCAAAAGAGATAAACAAAAACAAACAAAACAAAACTTGTATTGTAGTTCAGCATAAAAAACAAAAACAAAAAATGTAGCAGAAGAAGAAGCAAAAACGAAGTCGGCAGATGGAAGAACTAATGCATTTTTTAATATTTTTATATGTATACATTATCAATTTTTACATTTTTTTTTTTAGACATTAGAGATTTGACATTATTGATTTCAGATAATATAATAAAACAAGAAAGAAAAAACAAAACAAATATATATACATATATATATAATGTATAAACAAACTAAATGAAATCAACTTTGGGTCGATAAAGCGGGGAGATCTATGTGGTTAAACAAAGGTATCTATGTGAGTATGTATGAGGATGCATAAGGACTTATCTCTAACTTGATAGGGATGAATCGATATCTATGGAAGGATACATTTCTATCTGAATAAAGATGTAATTATATATATAACTGGATGTGTTTATATCTATGAAGGGATGTATCTATATCTATAGAATGATATATCTATTGTTGGATTAATCTACAAATGTGTGAATAGGGATGTATCTATATCTATACAAGGATGTCTGCTTCCGTATAAACGTGTAGATAAATCTATATTCGTATGTGTCTACATATATCTACAAGTTAATTCCTTACTATCTTATATGAACCTACAGAGTTTGACGAGTGCTATGAGCTAGAAAGGGATGCAGAACCAAAACCTTTTTGTGGGTTCATCAAGCATACTTTCTATATATAGATTCATGTAGTATACTTTCTATATATAAACCGAATGCCATCTATACTTAGGCTTGCTATCCAAGTGTATTGTCCAGTTATTTTCAAAACTTGTCTTAGGTCAGGCCTACACATTGAATCAATCAGTATATATACGTGTGGGGCTCCAACAGTCATCGTATATTGATTCATCGTAAGCTGTTTTGCTTAACTCATTATCAATTACTTTAGTGCCATACCATTAAAATATATATACTCCAAGTATTTTATATATCGGATCGGACTTTGCTATAATGTATATGACAAAGTGGAGCGTTTTCTTTGTTTTTATTGATTACTGTAGAGTCTTTGTTCTTAGCTCTATGACTATCAAAAGTTAAGTACTTAAATAGTTATTGCAGTGAGCGTGGACATAGGATGAATCGTACATTATATGACTAACTTCAGATGACTTAATCAGCATTGTCTGCATATATTAACAAAATCTTATAAGTTTTAGTACTTCTTTATAACAACAGTTATAGTATATAGATTTCTCTTTTAAAGATCGTGCTCCACTAGAGCGCTTTAATCCACTTGCATTTGATGGCCGCCAGTTCTACATCGGCAATCATCGACTGCTGAAATCCAGCGCTGCCTGCTACGTCGATTTTGTCAATGTCCAGTCGCAGGCTCTGCTTCGGATCTTGGAGTAACTGCTCGATGCCATGCCAGGCAATCATGACTCCATTGTCGGAGCAGTAGAGTTTTGACGGTCGATAGCAGCGGCAGTTGTAGGCGCTGGCCAAATGCTTCAGATTCTCAAAAATGGCATCATTGTTCGCCACGCCCCCCGAGATGACAAGTGTGGGCGGCGCTGCTCCAAAGAGCTGCCGCTCCAAACAGTACTCCAAAGCGCGTTGCGTCCGATGCATCAGATGGCGACTAACTGCATTTAGGAGGCCCGCACAGAAGTCCCGATAGTTGCTAATGATGCCATCTGGAGGTGTTCGCTCCTCGCGCTCCTGTTTGCGTATGGCACGAAAGGAATTGTTCTTGATGCCCGCAAAGCTGAAATTGCAATTGCGCTGTTGCGCCAAAGGCAATGGAAACTCGAATGCAGTCGGGTTCTTGGCATCCCGAGCAGCATGTTCGATGGCCCGCCCGCCATTCCACAGTCTATACTGTGGTAGCACATAGAGCCGCAGACGTCGTGCAATCTTATCAAATGCTTCGCCGGGTGCATCATCCAGTGTTTCGCCAAGCAGCGTCAGCCGACCAGGTCCATTAACCATTGCCAGCTGGCTGTGGCCACCGCTAATGAGCAGGCAAAGATATGGATAACTTATTTCAGTCGGATGCTCCATGCGCGCCTGCAAGGCGTGCGCCTCCATGTGATGTACGGGCAACATAGGTTTACGATGGCGGCGTGCCAGATGGCGTGCAAAGCGCAGACCCACAATTAAGCTCAAGGGTAGGCCCGGGTGTGTGGTCACCGCAATCCCGGCCAGCTGCTCCGGCTGCAGTTGCGCCTGCTCCAAGCACCGCTCATAGGCAGCTGCAATGCGCGCTCTATGAAGATCCTGAGCACGTGGCGGTATAATGCCGCCGTAACTAGAAATTTATATATATAAATCTATTTCTTTTATTCAGATTGTCAAGTATTTGTTACCGCGTATGAAACTTCTGCTGAGACTCAAGCACATTGGCATGCACCCGACCGGTTGTGTCTACTATGGCTATGCCTGTGTCATCGCAGGAGGTTTCGATGCCTAGCATATAGCTGACCAAACGTTGGCCAAGTCGACTGCATGGAGCTGGATATTTCGGCAATTGCGATGCGGCTGCATACATAACACAAATTTACCGGCTTTTCAAATTAAACAACAACAACACATGATAAATGTAGTGCATATCTGGCAGCGTTGCCTTGGTAAACAGCTGTTGGCGCGCATTCAATTTATATGGCAGCACTGACTGTTGACTTCTGGCAGCGCTGGTTTTATCAACAACATGTAAAAGTTTGAAGTTTTGCATAAAAATCCAATGAAAATAAATTTAAACTTAACAAAATAAAAATGATTTTGGCTGCTACAATCTGAGATTCTCAAGCTGCAATCGTCCTATAGACACACATCTAGAACATCTGGCAGCGCTGGCCGTTACTCCATTTCAAAATTCTTAGCGCCAATCGTCTTCCCTCTCTGTCTCTCCCTTTATAACGGAGTTAAATAGACTTTGTTTGATATTTTTTAGTACATATTAATTTATTTTGAAAACTATATAATAAATAATAATGATTTAATCAGCTTGCAAGTGGAAAAGTGTAGTTCCTAAAATGTTGCATATGCACATTATGCATACACACCCCACAGCATAAAACACGCGACGCACATCCTCCCTAACAGCTTATATAACTTTTGAAATTCATTGAAATATGTCTAATATTTTGGACTATACACCCCCAAATATGTGTACGTATAAGTATGTATGTATGTATATGCACTTGGTAAGTGTAGACTAATACTAGACTCCTTTCGTTTTGCTTTCTTTTGGCCCTATCGTTCGTAGTAGACGCGATAATAAAGCGTTTTAGAACGCCAAATGCTGTAGCTATTGTCAAATTTCAGCAAGTAAACTCCTTCGCCGGGATACGAATGCGAGCCCACATAGACCTCGTTGTAGCACTCGCGCCGATATATTGGCACAATAATGGAAATGGGTGGCTTGGCAGCCATCGCCGCAGCTTGGGCGGCCAGCGTATTGCGGTCCTGCGACATGGAACCCGACTCCAAATCCTCGGTGGTCGATAGATAATCCTCATCCAAGCACTCGTCGTCCTCATCGCTATCGCTAACGTGCACCGTCACCTCGCTGGTAACTGGCTTTGCCCACTCAAAATATATTCCGAAACCAATATCGTAATTGTCGGTGGCGAATTCCCAAAAAATGCATTTGCCATTCATATTTGTAGGCACGCGCACCTGGAACAGGAAATAATTCATGATCAGTCCATAAAATGATATATTTATATATGACTATATATACGCACTGTAACCGTATCGCCGTGTCCAATGGTAATGACGCCATCACCATCGCCGGCAGAAACTTCAGTCTTGAACTGTTCGATATCGGGCCGCGTCCATATTTTGGCCGGACGTATCATCACATATTCACTGTATTCCTCGTTACCCTCGCCCTCGAGCTGCTCCTGCAGCTGTTCGGGCTGCTCTTGCTGCTGGGACTCGAGCGTGCTCAGCTGCAGCGTATCCATGGCCTGGACGAGATTTGAATGGCCAGGACTGTTGTTGACGGTGCTGCTGCTGCCGTCGCTGCGGCTGTTGATGTTATTGTTATTATTATTGTTGTTGTTGTTGCCGCCGCCAGCACCATCACCGCCGCTGTGTTCCTGCAGCTCCACATGCAGCAACGTGTCCTTGTCCTTGTCCATTTCCAGCGTTTGCTGTTCCTCTTGACTCAGATTCGATTGCATTTGGCTCTGCAAATGTAGCTGTTGCATATACTGATGATAATGCTCCCGTTGCAGCTGATGTATGAGTACAGCCTGCTGCTCAGGATTGCCAGGAAATTGCTTCTCCGCGTACAGCTGTAAGGCAGATAATAGGCCACAAAAACCAAAGAGAATTGTTAATTTATTTACTACTAATGAAAAAGAGTGTCCTTGAATTTTTCGATTATGTCTGACCCAATTTAGTGTTTTGTGTGAATGTAAATGGAACAATAACTGTGACTCTGACCTCATTCGAGCCGCCATCGTCGGCAATTAGCATTTATTATTGACGTGTTTGTCAAGGCCTAGAAGGATGGGTACACAACAGGTGCAACAGTTTGCGCCCACAAGGTGTTGGCGACTCTGTTATTGACTGTGAAATACCCTGTAGATGATGTTGAGAGGATAAGGAAAGGCAGTCAATAGCCGCATATTCAGATGTATATTCATCATATATGTCCAGTGCAGTTCATTATTCTTGAAAAGTTCTTTAATACTTATTCATAAACAAGACTTGATCAATCTTCAAATGTATAACTAGCTCATATGAACGGGTTCGTTTTCAAATAACTAAACTAGTTCTAGTTAGTAAATTTAGTGGTTCATAGTTAGCATTCTTTTGCCTTAGAGGCCTTAGGCACTTTTAAGCCGGCTGAAGCTTTAATACCTTTCTATTTTATTCATGAACTAAAATTTAACAAATATTTTCAACTAGTTCACAAACGCTGAAATAGCTTAACACAGTCTTGAGAGTTTCCAATAACTTTTGAATACCTTCAATTGAATTCTTTAGAGTTGATTCAGTAAGTTGCTGGAATAATATCGCAGAAGTTACCTTTGTTTCACGAATCAGCTAATCCACATAGAATATAAATAGTTATCTTTTCCTAAATACTAGATAACATATTTATATAACATGTGTGAGCAATTAACAGCCACTGTCACAAGCTCAGTCTCAAAGGCTGTTATGGCTGTCCGTTGACACGTATTGCGTACGTGGTATTAGAAAATCGATAGCGTGTGCCGCGACAGTTAAATGATTACCTTAAATTGCTGATACGTTTGCTTGTTGAGTGCGTCCTGTAGCTGGCGTCGCTGCAATTCCTCCTTGTAGCCCTCCTCCAGCAGCTCCTGCTGCTCGCGTTCGCGCTTCTCGCGCGCCTCCTTCTCCAGTTCCATGCGACGCAGGTCGGCTTTCAGATTGGCATCGCGATTCTGACGCACCGCCTCGATGTAGGGACGAAAGGCACTGCACATTGTGTCCAAAAGATCGATGAAACCCTCCATAGCTTGCTCTCTCGTGATATCACCCAACAGCTGCCAGTGCTGCTGTCTGTCACGTCCGATCACGTCGAGCACACCAAGAGCCGGCGCACGGTTTGTATTGAAGGGTCCCAAGGCGGCCTGTTGTTTGAAGGCGATCAACTTGAGATTGTCCTCGTAAGACAAATGTATGGCCTTGCCAGAGTTTTCTGCAAAACAAACACGCATGTAAGCCATAAAAATGCTAACAAATTACAAGACACATCATAACAAATTTCTGCATTTACGTTTGTAGAAGGTGAAGGCGAGCCGATAGAGCTCTAGCAATGGAAATCCCCATTTTTCCAAAGTCGTTGCACTGCCAGCTCTGGATTTATCCATTATCTTTTTATTTTGTATCTGTAAAAATTGCTTTTAGAAAAAGTCTTTGGCGCTCCAAAAGATTTAGCACAGAAAACAAAAATAAATAATAAAATCTGACTGTGTGTGTATATGGAGATGTGTCTTAGCGCAAGACATATCGAATCGTAACGATAGTTCAATTAACGGCACGACGAGCATGACAAACTATCCATTTTGACTGTGCGGAAATTTCAAATCAAGGTCTAGATTATTTAAAAGGGTTGAAAAGCTTATACATTAAAACAATAAAATAAATATATACAAAATTATATATCGAGACATAACGTTCGATATCTTTGCACGACTTCATCTCCAATTAGATCACATATGGAACAGCACCTGCTGACGTCAAAAGCCCAATAATCGATATGTTCTAAAATAAAGTCATTTTACAGCACTGACCGCCAACAGCTGTGTTGTTTTACCTACACGTGCGCGTATTTTTTTTTATTATTTTTAAATACTTAGGTGTTTTTTTTTTTTTTTTTTGTATAAAAACTAACTATAAGTATGAGCGGCACGCGTTTCTTCCTTGCCGATTTACCGGCGAGCACAACAGAGAAGGATCTGCGTGGCCTCTTTCAGGATTATGGCCAGGTGCAGCGTGTGGAGCTAAAAACGAAGGAACAATTCGTTGATTCAGGACAAACAATTACAAAAGTTATTGCATTCGTGACGCTGCAGACAGATGATGCCGAATACTGTATGTAGACGCAGATGGGCAATTTAACTGAAACTATAAAAAATAATTGCATTTTAATTTCAGGTCTTAACGAGCTTAATTGGCAGCGCTTGCATGGCTGCCAGCTGAAGGTCTCACTGGCCAAGGAATCCTTTTTGGATCGTCTGAAGCGTGAGCGTGAAGAACAGCAGCAAAAGGAGCAGCCAACGTACAGTGAAGCAAATCAAAGTAGTTCCCGCCTGCTGGTACAAAATACGCAGAACAAACGGCGCGTTTTTGGCGAGCACGAGGAGATCAACGATGATGAAGTGGCGCCTGAGCTGTTGATAACCAAGAAGCGTGCCGCCAACTCCATTCACAATGGCAAAGTGCGTCACAAACTGTTTATATTTGGTATTCGAAATGAGCTTAACTCGTTGCCTCCTCTTGCAGATTGTCATCCAACAGGAACATGATGTGAAGCCGCTGCACATCATCGAGCAGCAAAAGAAGCCCAGCACCAAGCAGCTCGATGCCAAAGCCTCAATTGCAGATTCAAAGCGCAAAGAGTCGCTGAATAAAATGAAGCAACAGCATCAGCAAAAGAAGTCGCTCATTCAGCAGGCATTGGCCTCGGCCGAGGCCCCAACATCGAAGCGCATCAAGTTCAGCGATGCCGAAGAAGACGAAGAGGTGGAGCAGATTAAGGTGCAGAAGAAGCCAAAGGGGCGAGATTTGTTCGATGATGAGGATGGCGATGAGCAGGAGGAAGAGTTTGTTCTGCCTCAGCACAGTGGCAAAAAGGGCGAACGTCTGGTGGAAATGCAAAGTAAACAGAGCTTGGATCCCAGATTTCGTATAACAGCCAATTTTGTGGGCGAAGACGACGACGATCAGGAGCAGGCAGATGAGCCAGAGCAGTCGGAGAACCCCCAGGACAACGAGCGCGATTGGCAGATGGGCATTTTAGAGCAGGTGATTGGCCGCAAAATAGACACAGCCACTGCGACAGCGGCGAAGGTGGCCAAAAATAAGAAAATGTTGCGCTATGATCCGGCCAAAGAGGAGCATCAGAAGATGGTGCGTGTCAAGGACAAGGACAAGGAGAAAGTCAAGCAACAGCCAAAGCAGAAGAACGAAATGGTGCAGATAGAAGAAGAAGGTACCAAGCCAGCGCCCGTCTCACAGAGCTCCTTCTACGTGGTCACAGATACGCTCAAGGAGTCGCTGAAGACGCGCGGTGAAGGCTTCAGCCTGCTGGAAATGTTTGGCAGCAGCCATGAGGAAGCGGTTGCACAGCGACAGGATCAGCTAGAGAAGCTAGGCCATGAAAAGATATTGGTCAATAAGTCCAATAAACTGGGTCTGGGTCAGGTGAATCCATTCAGCTACGACTCTTCCGACAGCGAAGATGAGGAGCAACCGCAGGCCAAGGAAGAGGAGGAGGAGCAATCGCAGGTAGCTAAGGAAAATGAGAAGCCAGGCAAACAGAAGAAACAGAAGCCGAAAATCTTTATGGAATCTTTCTTTATACCGAAAAACGATGTCAGACTTAAAGGTATGAATCGACTATATATGGTGAACAATGTGTCTATAACTTTATATATCTCTTGCAGAAGGTGCCAAGTTCTTCAAGTCGAGTACAGCAGAGCTGGAGAACGAAAATTATGACCAGGTTAAAAAGCGTCTCAAATTCCTCATAACCAAGAAAATCGCAAAGACACAGAAAGGTCCAGTTGGCAAAATTGTCAAGAAAAACAAAAATAAAAAGCGAAATAAGTTTTAAACAAGATTTTTAATTTAAATATGAAGCGCGCCTTTGTACGGCCATTTCGAAATTAAATTGAATATTGGCGCCGTCTCGTATATTTGATTACCAGGGTGGCAGCACTATCGATACATATGTAGCTCATATATCGATAGGATTTTTGGGTTTTTTGTCAGCGGAAATTTGGACTTTTTGTAATTGCAAGCAGCGTTGAAATATCGTAAGCACTAAAGCCAAGGGCAGCAGTCACTTCTTGTCTAAAACACAACTTGCAAATTGAAAGAACAAAAGCAGATTTTTGTTTGAAAACGGTCTAGCTGTTGCAAAAAACTATTAGAAGCTTGCTTCCATGGTCGTATAGGTGGCAACGCTGTTGTTGATCTTGTTGATGGCAGCCATTTTGAACGGCTGAACACAATACAATAAGAGAATTTTTTCTTTCAAAATTTTGGTTTTGTGTATTTAACTAAATTAAAAAAAAAAAATTCATGTATACATAACATACACATATACATACATATAAATATACGTAGCTGCACAAATGCATTTGAGCCCCATTTTAGCTCCAACTTAAATCGAATAAGATTTGCGAACAAATAAAATTAAAATTACGAGAATAAAAAGAATTAAGAGCGCAGACCAAGTAACAAAGCTGTATCAATTACCTACATATGCATATGTACATACATAGCTTACATGAATGAATGAATTTGAAAAATAATCATCATTTATGACCACGTGCAGAATGATTCGATTATATAGAAAAATTTATATGCATAAGACTTGGTTGCGTCTAAAAACTAGAGGATTCATTGCAGCTTAAGCCTAGTTTAATAATTAAATAGTGCTGGCACAAATATTGCCAATATTATGTTACTTAGACAAGGTTTGCATTTCCTTAAGATTTACAATTTTTGTTATGATTTTCTTTTTGCTTAAGCACTTGGGGTATATATATATATATATATATATATATATATATATATATATAAATACATATATATATTTTAAGTAAACGTTGCAAAATCTCATTTGATTCCGAGTCATTGGCTCGTCTTTGGCACTGCATTCAATTGTTTTTTGTTTTTGTTTGGTTTACGTTTGATTCGAAGCGACCTCTTCGTCTGCTTCTATTTCTACTGCCTTTTCTATATCGACTCCTTTTGTTTCCACTTCGACTGTAGTTGCTGCCACTAATTCTGCTTCTACTTCCACTGCCGATAATTCCACCTCTGACTCCTCTGCCGCAGCATCTGCATCTATTACGTCGTCTGCTTCGACGCACTTGCCGGGCAAATCTAAAGCCGGAGTAACTGCATCCAAATCCGTTTTCATTGCTGATTCCGTTTCGGTGGCTTTGCTGGCCACTAGTGTTTGAGCCTTGCCCGCTGCTAACTGCTCGATGGCAATGACTGTGCGCTCGAGCAGATTCATGAAACGCTCCTCGCGTGCATCCATGCGCTTGAGCAGCTCCTCGTCTCGTTTCTCGCGCCGCTTCAGATACTCGATCAGTTCGTAGTTGGTGCTATCCCCATCCGTGGATGTGGACATCTTCCGTTTGCCGCTCTTCAGCGATGCCGATGAACTGCAATCGGATAGATTATCCGTATCCACAATCACATCCGGATGAAGAATATTCTGATCCAAACTCGGCGAATAGAAGTTCTGAGCGCTGCGTAAAGTAAAAGACAGAAGCGGAAGTTAATGCACATTCGATTCAACTCGATTTGGCTCAATCTTACCCATTGTAGTTGGTTTGCATTAGCTGTATGTCATCCGGATTGAATTCACCTTCGGAGAGCGGCTCGGATCTGGGAGAATAAAGAATTGGGTGGAGAGTAAATTGAAGTGTTTTTTGTGAAGATCTAAATCAAATTCCAAATCAAAAAGTCATTCAACAAAAATCAGTCTATCATCAGTCTCTATGTCTGTTCTTCAATCAGTCTATGAATCAATCACTTATTTAAATGGGAAATAGAAGAGCAAACACTTCATGTATGGTAAAAACAAAATTTAATTACTGTGCACGAAACAGTTTACTCGTATCTAAACTTGCTTTTCAATCAATCATCAATCAATCATTCAGTTAATTGATAATTTATTATAGAAATCCTAGACTTCATGGATGTTGTAAAATTGGAGCTACCATACAAAATACTGCTGATTACTGTCTACAACTTGCTGTATATGCCGCTCTTCAATCATGCTGATCCAGCAATTTGTTGAATGGGAATCACATAGAGAGGTCATCCACTTCATGAGTGGTAAAGAAAAGAAACAGCTACTAATTAAGCCAATTTCACTAGCATTCCTCCTCTGTAGTTCGTAAGTAAATCAATCACCAATCAATCAGTTGAATGAAGGAAGTCAATTACTCCATGCATGCTTAACAAATGTAGCTACTGCGAAGAAGAAAGTTTTACTAGCATCTACAGCTTGCTCTATACAGAACATCCCCAGTTAAGTAGTATCTACAGCTTGCTCTTCAATCAGTACGTCCATCAATCAGTTGAATGAGCATCACCTCGTGAGGCTGCTCATGCCATCGATATACAAATCAGTCAAATCAGTCAGTCAATTACTATGTAAAGGCTCTTCAATCGCTAAATCATTGAACTGAGAATCGCATAGAAAGGCTACTCACTTCATGGATATGTTGTTGTCGTTGCCGCTGCTGTTGTTGTGATGCAAGTTGAGCGCTCCATTGCAGTCCTTATCATAATCCGAAGCTTCGGGCGGCTCGTCATGCAAGCCATGTCCGTGATCCTTAAATGCGGCACTGTGATTGAGACTGTGACTGTGACTGTGATTGTGACTGTGACTGTGATTGAGACTGTGACTGAGACTCTGATTGAGACTGTGGTTGAGACTGTGGCTGAGGCTGTGCTGTGGCTGTTGCTCCTGCTCCTGGCCATTTGGTTGCTGCTGCTGCTGTTGTTGTTGCTGCTGCTGTTGTTGTTGTTGTTGCTGCTGTTGCTGCTGCTGCTGTTGTTGTTGTTGCTGCAGTTGGGCGACGGCTGCTGCAGCTGCTGCGACGGCGTTCGCCAAAGGATTGTCATCGTACACACCGGGCACGCCCACTTGGCCCACGCCCACCGGCAGCGGGGCATTCGGGCAGGGCCCCTCGCTCAGCTGCGTCTCCACGAAGTGATTTGGCATAAAGCCGCGCTCCATTTTACTCGCCCCGCTCTGCGACGAGTCGGTCGAGTGGGCGTGGCTCAGGCTCTGCAGCAAATTGTGCTGATGGGGCGTCAGCGTGTCCTTGGTGAGCAGGACGCCCAGCTCGGCGGCCTGCCTGCGCCGCTGGTAGTAGGAGAGCTCATTGTGATTCTTGCTGATCAGAGCGAGGCGCTTCCCATTGGAGCCCCAGCACTCGCCGCGCTGCTCCTCGATCTCCTTGAACAGGAACATATACGGCCAGTTACGCCGGACGTGCCGCTCCGGATTCTTCTTCAGCTGTGTGTAGATCTTCTTCAGGTTCTCGTACCGATTGCAGCACTGCTTCGCCGTTCGCTTGCGTGCGCTGAACCGGTTCAGCACCTCGGCGACCATTTCCCATACGCTCGCATGATTCTTGCGATTCGACTGGAACGCGCTCTGGATCCTCTCCGACTTGACGATGTTCAGCAGAGCCACCGACTCTGGCACATTGAAATAGCTTTCGGGAGTGCGCGGCGCACGCTGATGGTGGTAGCTGCTCGTCACGGTGGGCGGGGGATTCTTTGTCTCCTGGAAGACAGACAGAGAAAGAGAGAGAGCAAGAGAGTGAGTGAGTGTAAGAGAAGAGAGAGAGGGAGAGAGAGGCAGGTAAAGGAGGGATAGTTTAATATTGGTAGAAAATAGGGAGCAAGGAGATTCTATGCAAAGAGAGACAGAGAAAGGGGCAGGAGGGCTCAAAAGGATTGAGAGTGTGGGAATTCGAAGCTAAGGAGCGAATGATAAATAGTGAGACAGAGAAGAAAGAAGAAAAGTTATTTATCAAGATTCGAGCTGGTACAAAAGAAAGCAAGGGAGAGAGAGAGAGAGAGAGTGAGTGAGAGAGAGAGAGAAAGAAAATCAAAGAGAGTTTCAGATCAGTTGATATCCGGCTTAGACAGGGACTAACTTAACAAAAAACGAAATGCGCTAAATTAAGCGAGAATTATTGAGGGGGGGGAGAGGATCAAGAAAGGGGGGGCAATAAGAGCAATAGAAAACAATGACTAAGCACTATCCTCTCTATAGGGAATCACCAGGCATGAAGCTCTTAAAATTCAAATTATGAGTCAAGTGCAGAGAGAAAGAAAGACATAGAGAGAGAGAGAGAGAGAGAGAGAGAGAGAGAGAGAGACAGAGAGCGAGAGCAACGGAGAAAGCGAAAAGAGTCTAGATTAAGTGATGAAACGCATATAACACACGCAAATATTAAGCCTCTCTCTCTCTCTCTTTATGTCTAGATCTGCCTCTTCCTCTCTCTTTACATAATGAAATTAATTTTTGATTTGAAAGAGTATCTATTCAAAAACTCCGATATTTGCCTACATTATGAACTGTATTACTTCCGTCATCCATACACCCCATATGGATTGCAACAGGGTATCAGCAGTTAGAAACGGGAAAATGGAATAAGAAATACGATCATTCCCAGATTTGGAATACGAATCATTAAAGTAAACTACACGAATTGATATGATCCATGGCTCAGAAATCAACTTGACCCTCACGTAGACCTTCCTACTGATAACCGGCTTAGAGCTCACCCTAAAAAGCTAAAGCAGATCGACTGGCTTTTATATACCCTGGATGAGAGCAGTGAGAGCATTGGGCAATTAACTTAAGACTTATATATAATTTTATACACATATACATATACACTTATGCCATGTAGAGATCAACTATATTTTTGGGAAAATGTACTCTGGGAACTTAAGGTGTTACTTGATGCCCCGTGACAAGAGACATAAAACAAAATTTGAACTGAGCTCGCGAATGCCCCTGCTGCACCCTCAACTCCAATTGCTGCGCGCGTTCGCCATTGGTGCAGTCAAAATAAAGCATTTATACATAACTGTAATTGCATACATAGCTTTGTCATGTTCATGCATATGTGTTGGAGCGAGAGAGAGAGAGAGCGAGACCGAGAGACGAAGGCAGACAATCAGGCTAGTTTGGCTAGGAGTTTGCATTCGGCATTCCCGCATTGCAATCGTGCATAGCACGGAGACGGAGAGAAAGAGAGAGAGAGAGTGAGAGCGGCAGACGCAGCCGAGGCTTTTGCTCGCGCTGCCTCTCTCGCTCTCCCCAAAGAGATTTGCTCTTCGAATATTGTTGTTCTTTTGCTAGGTGCTTTACTTACCATTTGAAAATTTTGTTTGAGTCAGCAGCTTATTTCACAGAAGCGACGGCGTCGACGTCAGCTGCTACGCTGCAGCAGCAGCAGCAGCAGCGAGCGTTTTGTGCTGAGAAAGCGTTACGCGAAGATTCTCGCGCTGTTCTCTATTCTAACTTGGTATCCGTTTTGCAGTCTTCTTCTTCTTCATTGGCAATGTTAGCATTACAAAAACAAAAACAAAAATATGAAAAAGGAACCAAAACAAAAAAAAAGAGAAGCAGAAAAACCGTTTAAAAATAACGCACTTCTAATTGGTGTGTACACACTGTAAGTATTGCATATGCTAACGCATACAAATGTAAATGCACACTGCCAACATGCATGTGTGTGTGTGTGTGTGTGTGTGAGCACTTAGCAAAGGCAGCAGAAATACAAAAAAAAAGTACACTTGAATCGCTTGTACGTTTGGTTCTTTTCTCCCAATGTTTTTATTTTAAATTTTAAATTTTTGTTGTTGGATGGTCTGTTTTGTTTTTGTTGTTATGGTTTTTTTTCGTCGACGGCGACGACTATTAATATTTAGAAGTTAACCTTTTAGCCCCGCGTTGCGGCTCATCGGCTACAGTTGAAAAAAGCGCGACACAAAAACAAAAATAAAAGTAAAACACAAAATTATACACACATACAGACATATATGTATGTATGTATATACAAACATGCATGGGTGTGTGTATTGATACAATTTGCACATGTGTGTGTGTGTAGTCAAAGCGAATATAACTAACTGACTGCGGCGCTAGTTGTTGCTTTGTTTTTGTTTTGCATATTTTGTATTTGTTTTTGTTTTCCCGTTGTTTCCTTCGCGCATTATTTTGAGCATGAGCATGAGCACAAGCACGAGCACGCTCACGCACGCACGCACAGTCACTGGTCAATGGTTAATTCTTGCACTTGCACTTTGTTGCACTTTTTTTTCTTCTCAATACATTGTGCGATCCAGTGCTCTCTGTTCGGCGCACGCTTTCTCTCTCTCTCTCTCTCTCCCTCTCGCTCACTCTCTCGCCTTCTTGTTTTCTTATTGGCTTGCCGTTTACTGCCACCATACATTATACATATGCACAATCATACGCACACTCCCACTCACACACACACACACACACACACATACACATAAAAACGCATGCTTATATTTGCGCAACCGTGCCAAATATCCGTTTTAGGGGGCTTTGCAATAGTACTAACCAACATTAAAATAACTAAACGAATCGTTAAGAAAAACAGCAAACAAACGGACAACGAAAATGAAACTGAACTTTTCGTCGCGATCCCGTTGCCGATACTAACGGCAGTCACAGACACAGACACACATTGTGCCAAGTTCTGCTACGATCGTTAGGCAGACGGACGACGCTCGCGTTCGTCGCTGCTGCTGCTGCTGCTGCTCCTCGTTCTGCTTCTTCTTCTTGCTCTTGTTGTTGTTGTTGCCTGTGCTTTAACTTAGTAGATTGCGATGGCAGTGTTGGTAGCGACAGCGCCGCGCTCTCACTTTTTCACATGTGTTCAAATGTCTCAAGTGTGTGTGTGTGTGTGTGTGTGTAAATATACATAAATACATATGTATGTCTACTTATAGAATCGAACGTAGAGACAACGCCAGCAGCAACGCAGCAGAGCAACGGGAAGAGCGACAGTTAACTGATGCGCTCGGCCTATGGCGATTCTGATTCTGATTTCGATTTCGAATCCAATAGTCGAGCCAAGGAATAACACACGCATGAAAACAACTGTGCTCAACTGAGTGTGTATGTGTGTGTGTGTGTGTGTGTGTGTGTGTGTGTTTTACTCTCTGGGGGCATGGTGCATGCTGCTGCAGGCAAAAGGAATCTATGGGCATATTACTGTGCAACAGCAACAGCTACGGCAGCAGCCGCAGCAGCGAGTGGGAAAAATCGTAGACTATAAATAGATACAAGTATGCTCGATATATGTACATACTATATGTTCTATATATACAAGTGTGTGCATGTGTGTGTGTGCATATGCACCCCAAAGAAGCTGCGACTCGGTTGATGATCTCTCACTGAACGAAAAAAAAAAAAAACACACAGAAGATGTTAATGTAATATAAAAGAACTCTTTAAAAAAACATGTTTACTCTTGTATTAACTATGTTAAAACTGAACAGAGCTGATAATTAAGGGAATATTTTAAAGAAAAAGTACTTATATTTTAGTAGCTGCCTCTAAAGCTCTAAGTAACTATATGGTCAATGGTTTCTATATAAAAAACAGAACAAAAATGATGAAAGAGCAAAGTATGTCAAACAGAAATTCATCAAGAATCACCAAAGAGTACTATAAAAATTCAACAATGATTTGTTATTTTATTATTATTTTAGAATAGTACTACGTCATTTTAATTATAGATTTCTATGTAGCATTAGCTAGTACATAAATAACGAGATGATACTGGTTAGAGCATAGAAAAAGGTGAGATGAAAACTATATATTTCTTATAATTTCAAAACTTGGAATGACGAAAAAAAAAAAAAAGTTGTGAGTGAAGAATGAAAGACGTATTAAAAAAGCTTGATGAATGAGGAGCAGGCTTCATTCGTCAGCTCTCATCTATCTGAATAATGTATAAAGAATAAACGAAGAATTTTGATACACGAGTGATGAACAAGGAATGAAGTAGAATGATTGATTAAAGAATTTTGAATGATAAAATATGGAATATGAATTTAATATACATATATAGGGGATGACTGAAGAATCGTAAGTGAAGAATCATGAATAAAGCAATGTGGATGATGAATGATAAATAAGGAATGAAGAATAGACGTTTGATGAATTATGAATGAAGAATTATGAGTGCAGGGAAGACACTAACGAAGAATTGTGATTGTAGATTAAAGAATTACGCAGGCCAAGTTGATGTTGAATAATGAATAAAGAATCAACTATCATATAGGAAGAATAACAAACGCGATTGAAGAATCACGAAGCATGAATGAAGAATGCAAAATAAGACTTTTACAATTTGTTATTAGATTCGCTTTGCTGGGGTTTGGTTGCGATTCGTAGCCCCAGTTGGTTAATTCTGGAATTATTTAAGGTACATTCGATTTGGATTTCTTTTCTAACTGTGAATTGAGCCGCTGTTTAAAGGTTCATCTTTAAAATATGCTAAAAATATGCGCACAGTTGTTTTCTGTTTGTTTTTCTTTCTTCTACTTTTTCGATCAAGTCTAAGTCAAACAGCGCTTGACCTCTGACCCAATGTCCAATTGAAGCTTTTCGATTCAATTTCAATTTTGGATTTGCGCTTATTCCGAATCAAAATCGTGATTTTCATTAGATTTAGATACTTCTTATCCAGTATATCTGTATATTTGTATCTGTATCTGTATCTGTATCTGTATCTGTATCTGTATCTGTATCTGTATCTGTATCTGTATCTGTATCTGTATCTGTATCTGTATCTGTATCTGTATCTGTATCTGTATCTGTATCTGTATCTGTATCTGTATCTGTATCTGTATCTGTATCTGTATCTGTATCTGTATCTGTATCTGTATCTGTATCTGTATCTGTATCTGTATCTGTATCTGTATCTGTATCTGTATCTGTATCTGTATCTGTATCTGTATCTGTATCTGTATCTGTATCTGTATCTGTATCTGTATCTGTATCTGTATCTGTATCTGTATCTGTATCTGTATCTGTATCTGTATCTGTATCTGTATCTGTATCTGTATCTGTATCTGTATCTGTATCTGTATCTGTATCTGTATCTGTATCTGTATCTGTATCTGTATCTGTATCTGTATCTGTATCTGTATCTGTATCTGTATCTGTATCTGTATCTGTATCTGTATCTGTATCTGTATCTGTATCTGTATCTGTATCTGTATCTGTATCTGTATCTGTATCTGTATCTGTATCTGTATCTGTATCTGTATCTGTATCTGTTTGCAGATGCAGTATGCCTTTGCATTTGTATCTCTATGTGAATTTGTATCAGTAACTGCAGATGTTTTTGCATCTGTATCATTCACAGTACCCTTAAATGTATCTGTAGCTGTAAATGTATCTGGATTTGTAGTCGAATGTGATTCACTTTACGAGCTGTTGCTCCCGCTCTTTATTTCTTTCTTGATATTTTTGGTACAGCTGCTGGAGCCGCGCTGTAAATGTTTTTCATGCCGTTATTCTTATTCGTGGCGGATGCCTCAAAGCGAACGAAAGAAAACAAGTAACACGAAACTATCGATGGGGAGTGATTGGCTAATGGGATACTTTGTACTTCTAGGAAAACTTATATAAAGAGAAGAAAGAAAGAAACCAAATGAGAATGAGAAAAGAAAGTGGGCATCTGTGAAGAGTAAGTGGGAGAAAGAGAGAGAACGAGAGGGGAGAGAAAGATAGAGGAGAGAGAGAGAGAAGGAGTAGGAGAGAGAATGGGAATGAGAATGAGGCTTAGAGATATAGAAATACAAAAATAAAATATCTTGAAGTACCCTAATATTATTATTAGGAATACTTTCTTATCTGTAAGGGGTTACATAAAAACCTGGACGTATGTATACACCCAACTCGTAACTATTTTCACTGAGTGCAGGGTATAAAAATAAACCAAATCGCTTTCAATGCCCCTTCATACACACTCACACTTACACACACACACATGCACATACAGACAGACGAAAATAATGCGAGTTGTGAAGAGTACTTCGGATGGTCTCTCGTCTAGTTACGATTGGGTAGCAGCGTTCGGGGTTATCTTTGACTCAATAACGGAAGACAAAATACTAAAAACCAACTACGCCCTCATGCATCGACTAGCATATACAAGTACACAAATATATGAGTAGACAAATATATATGATGTAGCATTTCATCCTCTTTTGTAATCGAAAATATTTTATATTCACTTTTAAAGATTAAACTGCTTGTTCGTAGCTCTAAAACTGTGAGGTCAATGATTTCTTTTCAGTTTTGAGTAGACGAGTCTACTTTTGGATATATACCAAACTCCAGACGATATCTTCTATAAAAACTGAAACGTTTTGCGTTTGTACGAAGAAGGACGAATGGACGGAAGAAAGAACGATCGGAAAGGCGAACGGACGGACAAATAGATATTACATGGACAGATAGACATAGTACTGACAGATGGAAGGGCTGACTGACGTGTAGACTGTAGAATAAGTGACTGGGCAAAGGACTAGGAGACGGACGGCGGACAGACGGATATTACAGAGAACCAATATGCTCGCCTTATAGAGAGTGAACGGGAATATGACATCTAAGTTGACATAAATAAAAAGATGCGAAATCAAAACATATTTATACCACTAAAAACTCAAACTATAACCTGACAATTGAAAATCTACTCGAGGTAATATACTATGTACAAAATAATTATTCCATTCCCACAAAGCGAAGAAATTTTGCAATTTTGTTGCGTAGTTAAAAACCAAAAGCAGACAAAGCCAAAAGTAAATGTTTGTACTTACATATGTATGTAAGTATATATATATCAAAGATATATGCATGCAAATGTATATATAGTTTGTATATATACAGACATTTGTAACGATGTATAGAGCTCTCTGTATGCTCTGATGATCGATATCTTTGCATTTTTATAGCTATTGTCTTTGCATCTGCTTCTGTTTTTTCTCCTACTCTTCATCGCCATCATCATAATCATCTACTTGTTCTTCTTCTTATATTTCGCTGTATTTTCTTATATTTTCCCCCAGTTGTTTTTCTTTTTATTTTCAGTTGCTTTTCTTTTATTTCATTTTTTTTTTTTTTTGCTGTTTTGAAAGAAAATGAGTACAAGAGTTATTTTTAGAATATATTTTCTTTAAGATTTTTACTCGGTAACATTTGCCTTACGCTTCGTATTTCGTAGTAGTTGCTCTTCTTCTTGTTGTTGTTGTCGTTGTTGTCATCATCATCATTATTGTTGTTGTTGTTGTTGTTGTTGCTGCTGTAGCTGGTGACTGTATCTGTGGGGGCCTCTGCTTTGGCTTGTTTGTCTCGTAGTTGGATTTTTAGGATTTGCTTAAGTAACATTAGTTTTCTATATATGCATACATACATACATGCATATACATATTTACATTAGTATATGTGCGTGACGAATTGGAGGAGCCATTTACAGCATGAGAGAGGGGTTGACTTCAGAGAGAGAGAGAGAGAGAGAGAGAGAGAGAGAGAGAGAGAGAGAGAAAGAGTGAGTGAGCGTGCGAGCGAGCGAGCGAGAGAGAGAGAGAGAGTGAACGAACGTTGGGTCTGGGCAAACGAGACGCTCAATAAGATTTATAGTTGCTATTTTTAAATACTGGCATATTAACAACCGTAGGGATCGTGCGTACACACACACACACACACACACATATGTAAAATAGTACACTTGATATATAAGTAGCATACACATGCATACATGCACATACATATATGTGTAAGCATGTATACAGATGGCTGGCATTTGGTTTGCGCTGAACGCATTGCATTTGTACTACATGCATTCAAAAGCAAGTAAGTGTAAAAGAGATGGGCTATGCGAGACTCTCAGTTGACCTATAATAATAGCAGCGGTTAAGAAAGCTCCTGTGTAAAGAAAATATAATAAAAGAGTTTCATCATTTTCATTTGTTTTTATATTATATTATTATTATTTATTAATTTATTAAATATTAGTATGTTAGTGTTTCACTTGTTTTTACCGATTCAAAATTTGTATTTTTCAAAAAAATTGTATCCAAAATTGTTTTTTAATATACTTACTATATCAGTATTTATGTATATGAAACATTTATATACATGTTTCTATGAAACATTTTTTGTATTTATATTATAGTCATATGTTTGCTTTTACAAAGATGATCTATATTCAAATATTAATTTAATGCATATTTTTAAAGTTAGGAACTCCTTCTGAGCTCACCTATATGCCCATTGGCCTTAACATCTATTACATTTTTGTGATATTTGCTATAAATATTCACAGAAATATAAATATACAAAATATAAGCATTATCTGGACCAAATTTTTAATTTGATTATAAAAAATTGCTTGCTAAAAAAATAAGCAGAGAAATCCTGTACACTCCTCTTGTCTTTGGCAAGTAGAGTATATACAAAATTGTTAGAGTTGTAAAATTTGTTAGGTTTAATGAACCCGGAAAATGCGCACAAAAATGTGTGTAAAAGCTAAAAACAGTTAATGAGAGAGCTTAATGGAGAGTAAAAGAGAGTGAGAGTGACTGCGTGCGTGTGTGTGTGATAGAGAAAGAGAGATAGAGGTGAGAGAGAGAGAGAGAGAGCCATTAGAATTAAAGCATTTCTAATGCAGATATAAATAAATGAAAGGGTCAACACAAAGCGCCATCTATCGTGCAGCAGCCGGACAAAGACACACACACACAGTGCATACCCATGCATTGGTCACAAGGACACAAAAAGTGTCGCATGATTAACCCTGAAAATGGCTACGTAAAAAATATACCAACACACGCACACACATGCACGCCTACACACACAGAGAGATGTGTTGATTCATATTCGAATTGAATATAGTGAGGTGAGCCCCCAAACGTGATAACAGGTGTGTTTGCTGTCTTATGACACACACGCCATTATTTTGCATAGCCTTGAGGGGTGAGCCGATATAAAGAAAGTGAAAGTACACACAAAGTGTGTGCGTGTGTTTGTGTTAGCGAGGGCGCAAATTTGACGCTTGTGCGTCTGCGCGATTGGTCGCTGCATTTGCCGTTGCCTACTTTCAAGCGTCGCGTCTGCTTTCCCGGCAGGATGTGCGAGAGCAAGCGAGAAGGAGAGTTTGCACACCGCATCAAAAACAACAACAACGAGCAACTCTGTTATAGATACACACACAGGCATATGTGTGTTTGTGTGTGGGTGAGCGTGAATATGAGTGTGTATGTGTATGGGAGTCGAAAAGCTTTGCAATCCTGGAGTTGCCAGATCATGTAGTTTGGTAACGCTAAAGCATGTATGTGGTCATCGCGACAGGTCTGGCAACAACTTGTTAAGCAGCGCGCAACAAACTTCGCGCTCTCACTCGCACACGCACAGCTGAAGCTGTAAAGGGCAGCGGCGAAAGCTTTTTCGCTCTTTCGCTCTTCCTTTTTGTCTGTTTTTTGTATGTGTATGTGCGTGTGTGTGAAACGCCAAAAGCAACTGTATAGGAAGAAGCAGCAGCAGCAGCACTACCAGCAGCAGCAGCACTCGCCGCAGCAGCAGAAGCCAACGACGACTCTAACGGAACTGAAACGCGTATCATTTTTTCCTCGAACGAAAAACGTAGAAAAAGAAGAAAAAAGGAAAAAGAAAGTTATACACACAGGCAAAGATTGCAATCATTCATTCACAGTTCGAGTCCGGAGTCCTGCTCAAACTGTAGCTAAAAAATTCGCGCGTGCTGCAAAAATACAAAAAATAAAAGAGAAAAGGAAATTCGCATAGAAATCAAATCAAATTAGGAGCAAATTGCGCTTTGCTGTACGAGCAAGTGGAATTTTTTTTGGTTTTTTTTATACCTGTAACTGGTTTTGTTTTTTTTTTCCTTTTTGTGTAATTGTGTATATGTGAGTGTGTGGTATTTTTTCGTAAATGCTATTTATCAATTATTCGCAACAGTGCGCTCATGTATGTGTGTATGTGTGTGCGTGTGCAATTACTGCATTTGCATTCCTGCTGAGTGAGGATGTGTGTGTGCATGTCTGTGTGTGTGTGAGCCACGTGAATCAAATGCGCGCAACAACACTAATACACATATACAAATATCGACACACGCACACACACACACACGCGCCCGCACGCACATACAACAACGGCAAAGGTTGAGAAAGTGACAAAAGTGAAGCGGAGTCCGAATTTGGGCAGTAGGGCAGCTGCGTCAGCGTCAGCGCCGACGTCGACGTCGGCGTCGTTGCTAGCTTCGCTGTTGCTGCCTTTTTCGCCGTGTGTGAAAGTGAAAGTGAATTTTGTGCGCTAACTTGTGTGTGTGCAGGAAATTGAAATTGAAATTAAAATTTGCAGATGTGAATGGAAACCAACAGCAACAGAAACAAATAGCTTTAAAACTGTTGAATATAGAATGACGTTGCAGACAAAAATCAATGTAAAATATAAAGCGATAAAAGCAACAGCAGCAACAATAACAACAATAACAGCAACAGCAACAACAAAAACAACAATAAGCGCCCGTCTGCGCCGCCGTTGACACGCACGCACCAATACAAACAAAGCAGACAGTCAGACACACAAGCATAAAAAACACGCACGCACACACACAGACACACACATACATTCAGGGCAGTTAGGCCTAGCGCTGCGTGGGCGCAAAAAGGAGCAGCAAATACCAATTGTGCACAAAAACAACAAGCAGCATAGCGCAACAGCGAGCAGGAGCAGAAGTAGTAGAAGAGGCAGCGCAGCAGCAGAGCTGATTAAAGCTGTTGACTAACAGTTAAACAAAAACATTCGCGAACACACAAAAAAAGTGCCATTCACACACAATGAAGCCATCGGACTTGCTGCTGGTGTTGCAAAAGGTAAGCAAAGAAAAAACTTGAAAAAAAAAAAAACAGCAAATTGAAATGCACAGCGAATTGCGCTGACAAGTGACACTTGTCACGCGGCGAAAAATGGCGTAGACAAATGAAGCATTTGCCTAGGCGAATTTGCTGTTAAATGGGCATTATAATAAACGCCCACGCACACACACGCAGGCATGGGCTTACATGTGTATGCATGTGTGTGTGTGTAGACTTATGCAAATCCATTTTGACTGCGAAGTCTCGCTGCTCACACACAAACACCCACACACACACACACATAGACATACACAAAAGCCAGTACGTGGCAAGTACGACGTCGACGACGAGCGCTAAAGCCGAAGCGCAAAAACAAAAAAAAGAAAGGAACATACAAAAAAAAAAAAAAAAAAACACCCTGTGGGAGCAAGCGGTTCGGGGTTAGGGTATGCGGAGCAACAGCGAGTGGGCGGTTAACGTGGGGGGGTTCGGTTGAGTGCTTGTATGGGAGTTTCAGCATTTTGGCTCCGCTGGGTGTTATCTTTATGGCTGCGCTCAACCGAGTTGCCCAGTTACCCAGTTTTTACAGTCCCCCAAACGCACAGAGTATATATATTTATATAGCCCCTGTTGTATACACCATATACAATATATACTGTATATATATATATATATATATTGTATACTATATACTCGTGTACATATGTCCACTTTGGCCAGCCACTAGGTCGCTGGCTCTTACACTTCCCTTTTTTAATGGCCCACTCTAGAAAGCTATTACTAGCAACAACAATGAGAGAGAACAACATGAAGTAGAAGAATCAGCAGGAGCAGCAGGAGCAGCGTTAGAGCTGACCAACTGCCCAACGATTTGCTGCAGTGTATCAGAATATGTGAAAAACTACTGAGCGGAAAGCGGAAAAGTTTGGATAGTTGCTCAGCAAGTTACAAAATTAATTAAATGAAATATTATATACGTATATGTACATATAGATATACATACATATATCTATGTAAGTCATTGCCAACAATTTGCACAATTTGCATGGAAAGTTTTACAACGATTTGCCACAATTATAGATAAAGTTTTCCATGAGATTGTTTTCAGCAACATTTGCCAAACTAAAATTAAATTCCTTTGAAATTGAAGCTTAAGCTACTAATTCGGATTTAGGCTGCATAACTGTTGTGTGCATCACTCTTCAATTAGATCAGTTACTCAATCAGTGAAGCATTTAAGATGAAGATAAATGCAACTAGTCCTAACAGCAGTCAGTCAGCTGGATCGCTCAATCAGTCAGTCAATTATTTAAAACTGCAGCTAGCCTTCTCTCTTATGTACGACTCGTCAATCATTCAGTCATCAATCATACATTCAGTCACTCAATCATACACTTCGTCAACTGGTCAGCCAGTCATTCAATCAGTCAATCATTTACGAAGTCAAAGGGAAAGATTTTCATAGATGCGGTCATATGAAGCATGTGCAATGCAGAATATAGCATGCCAGGCAATCTATCAGATCCGTTATATATATACATTCATATATGTTTATATGTATATATGTATGTTCCATACACACATATTGATTCATATCCACATATCTGCGCTTTTGTGTACACCTTCTATATTATTCCATGACCTACTCTTGGTTTACTTACTTTTTCTGTTGTTGTTTGTTGAACAATAAGTGACAGCTGATTTTGATCAGTGTAGGAAACAGCTCTAGGGGAAACTCTGGCAAACTGTTAACAGTTGCTCAACAAGTAACAAAAGAGTTCAAAATGTCTCTGTATGCTTGTGTGTGTGTGTGTCTATATATGTATCTGTGTGTTCGATGCTATTCTCTAAATATCACTCATACGCACATTACTCATACGCCCCACTGGTCCGTCACAAATCGAAAATAGAATAGCATATTCGAACAGCAAATCAGAAATAAAAGCAAAAAAAAAAAAAATTAAATGAAAATATTTTTAAGCTGGGTATATCGTTACCGGTTATATCAGTTTGATTTGGCAGGTTTGCTTGGACTGGAGATTGATGTATTTGGATAGAGAGATTTCTAGTTGTATTTGTATATTTCCTTTAGAGTTATTCGAGTCTAGGTCAAAATTGAAAGAAAATTCTCATGAATGAGAAGAGGTCTACGAACTTGAATCAAACCTAAAAAGGAACTTTGCGAAACTTTCCAATATAAGACAGCATAGGACAGGAAATGGGCAGTATCAAAATTTTAAGAAGAACCTTATGCACTTGAACATTTAAAGGAATGAGAAATTCCACTAGTTCTGATGTAGAAAATAAAAATCAACAACAAGGAATTTCTCGCTTTTAATTGCTCGTTCAACTTGTGTCGCGGCTTCGCTAATGAGCTTATCATTTAAACAAGTATTATTCTAGCTTATGTAGAACTAAGCTTCCTCAAGGACGATGCATAAGAGTCCCAATGAGCGCCTCAGCCAACCCATTCGTTCTTGCCCTCCATCTCTCCCTCCATCCGTCTCATTCGTTCCGCAATTAGCTTACAACTTAATCTCCAACAACAACAGCAAAGAACAGAGAAAAAGCGACAAGTTTTATCTAGCGGAGAATAAATAGTTAGCTACTTAAGTACTCAACAATAATCAGGCCATTGAAAATAAATTTGTATATTTAATGCACGCTCCGCACAGCACAGGATCTGGGTATATTAGTTTCTTAGCCTTGGCTGTCCGTTAGGGTTTTACGGCTGGCCTTTCCTTTTTAGTTGCTTTAGCTTTTCTTTTTTTTTTTTTTCTTCTAGGTTTTCTTTTTACGGCTTTAAGGATGCTTTTTTTGAGGCCTTTGACAACATTTCTGTTGTCTAGTTTCATGATAATTCATTGATAGGTATTCCCTTGCTGCTTTTCTCGGTATTTTTTAGTTCTTTGGTGAGTTTTTTTTTTTTTTTTTGCAGCTTTGCTCAGTTTTTCTGTCGAGCTCCTTAAGAGTTTTCCTTGTTCCTTAAAGGCCCTTGAAATTTTTAGGATTTTTCTTAGGGATTTTCTCAACTTAAATGAATTTTCCTTTCATCCTTGAACCTTCCGTTAATCGGTTATGCAGTTGTTTATTATTTGACCCTCATTTGAGGGTTCTATATCTGGCTTTTTCCTTTATCCTTGAAGGGTTATCGTTGAAGTCGTTCCTAAAATCCTTTAAAATATTTCCTTAAAAATCCTTCAGCCTTTTTTATTAGTTAGTTATATTTGGATTCTGCTCTGCTTTTAGCCAAAGAGCACTTTTTAGCCTTTTTTCATCAGCTGACCTTTCCCGCTGTTGATAGAGTATTCCAGAGTCATCGAATGGGGCTCGCAACACATTTTACGTTAGCCTTGAGCTCAGTTGGCGGGCAGCTTGGCTTGAATTGAGTTTCCAGTTGATGGCATTTGATGAGCAGCAATGCGGGTACAGCTTGTGGCCGAGCGTGGTGGCGAAGGGGCGAGTGCAGCAGGAGCAGAGGCAGGATCAGGGACAGAGACAGGGACAGGGGCAGCAGCAGAGGGTAGTGGGCTGAGAGAATGGGTGTCATCCTTCAAGAGCAGCCGGCAGATGATGACAAACAAAGCGCCTGTTCGACTCTTGTTTGCCATTCAGATCTGGCTCTGGTTCTGGTTCTGGGGCTGCGGCTGCGGCTGTGGCTACGGCAACGGCAATGGCAATGGCAACGGCAACGACTGTAGCTGCTGTTGATGTTGATGTTGTCACAGCGCTGCTGCCATACACTCTGCCCTGCCCCGACACCCCTCAACGATGGGACCTCTCGGCTCTGGTGACCTTTTTGCTTTGCAGCACCATTAATAACAACCACTTCAAAGGGCCACGAGGACGACACGGCCAGGGGCTGAAAGGAGAGACTTTAGAGCAAGTGCTTGTTGCATTTGGAGCAGATCGAGTGGGGGCGGGAGTGGGAGTGGGAGTGGGAGAGAGAATGGAGAGTAAAAGTGGAAGTGGAAGTCGGAGTACGAACGGCAATAGGGCAAGTTGCTGTTTAGCATACCAATGAAGCGGTTATATAACAAGCCCCGAGCACCAGCCCCAGCACCAGCACCAGCACCAGCACCGCCAGCAGCCACGCCCACAGCTGCAAAACACTGAGCTCAGTCTATAAATATGCACAGAGCTATGCATGCATGTGTAGATGCACTGAGCGAAAACAACTCAAAGAAAAAGTTGCTGACTTGAGGTTGATATTTCTATGCCTCGAAGCTATTATGGATGCATTTGTATCTGTATTACATATAGATACAGATATAAGATACATTAATATCTGTGCTTTTTCTGCCAGTGTATCTATATATAGATATGTCCTTTACCGAGCTGCTGCTGCTGCTGCTCCTGCTGCTGCGTAGGCCGCAGAAAACTTGTTGCAAATATCGATTCACGCCGTGGCTCAAAGCCTTGCAGAGCCTGCACACACAGACAAGTGGGGAAAGGTCGTGGGGGTGGAGTTACGTGTGACTGCGGGCCTGTTGCAGGCATTTTCAATTTGCGCTTTGGCATTGAGCGCACTCGACTTTTAACAGCTTCCTTTTTGCCTTTCACATTTCATTTTCCTATTTTTTTCGTTTTAATATATTTTTGTTGTCGTTGTTGTTGTTTAATATTTGATTGGCTCGCATCACTTGAATGCCACTTTCATCTTTTATCATATAAATATGTATATATATATATATATATATATGTATATATTGATTTGCTTTTTATGTATTGCGACTGACGTCCACTTGACTAGGATGTCAATTTATTGAATTATTGTTAGCGACTGCGGCTGCCGCTGATGATGCTGCTGCTGCTACTATTTTTACAACAGCATCTAATTTCTCTTTCCACTTCCTGTTCCTCTCCTTCGCTTATATCTGTGCCGCGCTCTCTTCCGCCGCCTCCTGTCGTTGCGCCATCGATTTCGGGCAGGTCAAGTTCAGGCTGCCCTTGCCGCCGGGCGTTAGCTCCACAACGCTCCTGCCGAAGCTCATACGTACGAAGGATGTGAAGCAGCTGCAGGATGGCAATGCACAGCCCACAAAGCCCAAGCTAACGGTAAGTGTCAAGAAAATTTTGTACAATTAATAACAGTACACTTAACAAGTACTTAAAACGAAGATATAGATATAGATATAGATATAGATATAGATATAGATATAGATATAGATATAGATATATATATAGATATAGATATAGATATAGATATAGATATAGATATAGATATAGATATAGATATAGATATAGATATAGATATAGATATAGATATAGATATAGATATAGATATAGATATAGATATAGATATAGATATAGATATAGATATAGATATAGATATAGATATAGATATAGATATAGATATAGATATAGATATAGATATAGATATAGATATAGATATAGATATAGATATAGATATAGATATAGATATAGATATAGATATAGATATAGATATAGATATAGATATAGATATAGATATAGATATAGATATAGATATAGATATAGATATAGATATAGATATAGATATAGATATAGATATAGATATAGATATAGATATAGATATAGATATAGATATAGATATAGATATAGATATAGATATAGATATAGATATAGATATAGATATAGATATAGATATAGATATAGATATAGATATAGATATAGATATAGATATAGATATAGATATAGATATAGATATAGATATAGATATAGATATAGATATAGATATAGATATAGATATAGATATAGATATAGATATAGATATAGATATAGATATAGATATAGATATAGATATAGATATAGATATAGATATAGATATAGATATAGATATAGATATAGATATAGATATAGATATAGATATAGATATAGATATAGATATAGATATAGATATAGATATAGATATAGATATAGATATAGATATAGATATAGATATAGATATAGATATAGATATAGATATAGATATAGATATAGATATAGATATAGATATAGATATAGATATAGATATAGATATAGATATAGATAGATATAGATATAGATATAGATATAGATATAGATATAGATATAGATATAGATATAGATATAGATATAGATATAGATATAGATATAGATATAGATATAGATATAGATATAGATATAGATATAGATATAGATATAGATATAGATATAGATATAGATATAGATATAGATATAGATATGAGATATAGATATAGATATAGATATAGATATAGATATAGATATAGATATAGATATAGATATAGATATAGATATAGATATAGATATAGATATAGATATAGATATAGATATAGATATAGATATAGATATAGATATAGATATAGATATAGATATAGATATAGATATAGATATAGATATAGATATAGATATAGATATAGATATAGATATAGATATAGATATAGATATAGATATAGATAGCTCCAATGTCAGCACCGAAAAGTATGCAATGAATATTAATAACAGATACTCGATTTCATCTAATCCTCTTCTCCTTCCCGTTTTCTCGTAACTGTATTTTTGCTTTACTAGAAATGTCTCAATACCCTGGATCTGACATCCTTGGGCATTGGGTCATGTTGCGGCACCGGCATGTACCTGGTTGCTGGCCTGGTGGCCCAAAGGATGGCTGGACCCGGTGTGGTGATTAGTTTTATTATAGCCGCCATAGCAAGCATATTCTCAGGTAACTATCAAATATATAACCATCTAGATAATGCCACTATATATCCTATGTGCTGTATATCCTTGTAGGCGCTTGCTATGCGGAATTTGGCGTTCGAGTGCCACACACTTCCGGCTCAGCCTATATGTATTCATATGTGGCAGTTGGAGAATTTGTAGCTTTTATAATTGGTTGGAACATGATATTGGAATATCTAATAGGTAAGTGAAAGTAGCGCTACCAGGAATAGGTCATATCGATATCATTCTATCCATTCGTTTGCAGGAACAAGTGCCTGTGCATGTGCATTAAGCTCAAGTTTTGATTCATTGACGGGCAATGCCATTGCGACTGCGATGAGTGAGTCAATTGGCACCATATTTGGTAAGTGCACAGTGAATACTCCGATGAGCGAACTCAGCTCAACTTGACATCATGGCCTTTTAATGCAGAGCTATTATACTATTTGTATTGAAAAATAGTTTGATATAAAGACAAAATCAAATGATTGATTGATTGATTGATTTAATATAAACTATATGTAGCTTTAACATTATTGATACATTTCTTCTTCTAGGCAAACCACCTGACTTTATAGCCTTTGGCATAACACTCATCATGACCAGCGTTTTGGCGATGGGCGCCAGTAAATCTGTTATCTTCAATCACACCCTAAATGCCATCAATCTGGCCACGTGGGTGTTCGTTATGGCCGCAGGGCTCTTTTACGTTGATACGAAAACGTGGTCGGAGCATCAGGGATTTCTGCCCTATGGCTGGAGTGGCGTAAGTAGCAGCTAATCATATAGACATTCCTCTCTCTCTCTCTATATATATATATATGTACATATGTATATTCATATATACTTTCTATAATTTTCTTCAGGTTTTCTCGGGTGCCGCCACCTGTTTCTATGCATTTATTGGTTTCGATATCATCGCAACCACCGGCGAGGAGGCGCACAATCCGCAAAAGAGCATACCGAAGGCAATCGTTGGCTCCCTCATCGTTGTCCTCATTGCCTATGTCAGCGTTAGTCTAGTCCTTACTTTAGTCGGTGAGTGAAACGGCTGAGTAACCTATTGGAATTCATTTTTAGGTTAAATGGGACTTTTTCAAAAGCTCCTAGCGCTCTAGAACCATTCTGGGATTACATGAATATTAAGATCTCAACCTGTCCCTGACTTTAAAGTTCTCTTAAAACTGGGTAGAGTTATGAGACTTTTAATCTATCTATGTCATAGTTCCCTACATTATTATTTATCAGCATCGCATTTTAGGTAGCCTTTTGATACCATATATATTATATAGTATTATTATATCTCTTTTTGCATAGTGAGACCCGAACATTTTGACTTAAAGCTCGTTAAAAATCCATTAGGGATAACTCAAAAGCTTTAAGATCTGCCGACATTAGCATTATATACGTAGAACATTAATTCTTATTTATATCTTTGATCATAACAAATTCGATAAAAATCGATTATCGTAATCGGTTTATAAGGCCTAGTTCAGTGCCTATAACCTATATATAGCCTTAGATTAGATATATTTTTCCTTCTCTCTACCTCGCACTTCCAATGACAATATATTTTTATCTCTCCCTCTCTCTGTCTATCTCGTCTCTCTTAGTGCCCTATGATCACATCAATGTGGGCGCCGCTCTAGTGCAGATGTGGTCGTATGTGAATGCGCCCAAGTGCCGTGCTGTGGTTGCGGTTGGTGCCACAGCTGGTCTCTCGGTGGCCATGTTTGGTTCGATGTTTCCGATGCCGCGCGTCATCTACGCCATGGCCCAGGATGGCTTGATATTCAGGTGAGTTGTGGCCAAGTTTAGGCTTGAAATCTCGCCTCACTGGTTTCATCATTTCAGGCAATTGTCGCATCTGTGGCAGCGCACTAACGTGCCCGGCTTGGCGACGGTGGGCAGCGGACTGGCCGCCGCGCTGGTTGCCCTAACCGTGCGGCTGGACATTCTCGTGGAGATGATGTCGATCGGCACGCTGCTGGCCTACACCCTGGTGTCCACCTGTGTGCTGGTGCTGCGCTATCAGCCGCATAGCACGTCGCTGGTGGAGCTGCTGCCGGCGCAGTTGCGCACGCCGCTGGCGCCGGGCACCGCCACGGATCCGCATGCTCGTCCGTCGGAGGTCCTCGAGCCGACTAAGCTAACGATCAAGCGTGTGACGCGCGGCATGTCCGACTCGGATGATTCGTTCATCGATGACAGTCCGGAGGGCTATTTGGGTGGGCGGGATGATCAGTTTTTGGTGTCGGATCGCTCCGAGAACAAGTTCTATGGCAGCGTCCATGGTGCCCCCACCGGACCCACTGGACAGGCCACCGCCTTTGATACGATGGGCCTTAATTTTATAACGCGCAAGATTCATGACTATGCGTACCTGTGCCCCGGTTTCTTTCCCTGGGTGAATCCTGGTCAGGCGACCTCCGAAAGTGGTATGTTACAGGGTATACTCCCTCTGTTTCCCTATCTTCCTTTCTTCCTTTCTCTCCCACACACACACTCTCTCTTTCTCTCTCTCTCACTCTCTCTCACTCTCTCTCTCTATCCCTCTCCATCTCTGTCTGTCTTTCCCGCTCTGTCTCTGTCTCCCGCTATTTTTTCGTATTCGATATCGAAATTCAATATTCAATATTCTCGTTGCTCTTTTGCTTTCTCTCATTCCATTTTGTGTTTTGCTCCCGATGACATCGCGACTTCGAAATTGCTTACGCATCCGAAATTCGAAATTCGAAATCCGTAATTCGAAATTCGATATGCAAATATCCGTCTTCGAATACACACCGCATACATAGGCATGTATGTCACGAAACTAGTTGGAATCATGTTCGGTCTCATATTCTTCTTGGATTTGTTCGCGGCCATCGGTTGGTCCGGCGGCCTCGCCATCTTCATTTATATCATTTTATTTATCGGCATATTTGTGATATTATTGATTATATCGAGACAACCACAGAATAGGTAAAGCCAATAATAACAACTAACCAAATGGTGTATCCTATCGATAACTTTGCAGAGATAATTTTTGGGCCACGAAATCGAGTGAAGCTCAAATGCTAAGCTTTTTGTCTGCTAATTCTGCGAATGCACTTAACGATAAATATCGATTTATACGATAATGATCGATTCAAATTGATTGCAAGAAACTTAAATGTAGTTTTATCTAACGATTAATTTTTGCTAGTTAGAAACAACCGATAACTATCGATGATTAGTTATTATCGATCTATATACAAACGTAAACATTGTAGAGTGGGCTGTACAAGTTCTAAATTTTATCTTCTGCAAAGCTATAATCTGGCATTTTCGGCTTCGGCCGAATTTCAGAATGCTTCTCACATAATCTCTCTGGAAATGCTCAATTGTAACGGTTCTCTTTGATCTTTCACAGATATGCACTTGCGTTTTTAACGCCTGGACTTCCATTTATTCCGGCTATCGCAATAACTGTTAACATTTATTTAATATTTAAGCTAAGCATACTGACCCTCATTAGGTTCACTGTATGGATGACTCTCGGCTTCATAATGTACTTCTATTACGGCATCACGCACAGCAGCATGGAGCAGACCAGCGACGAGCTCGAGCTGCATGTCGACAAGGATTATGTAAGTCTGCCAGAAAGTACTAATCCTTCAACATGAATAACCCTATTGATCTATTGATCCATTTCAATTCCAGAGCAAAAACGTGGATGACAAAGCCGTTTGGGATCAGCAGTCCTACAACCAGACGCATGAACCCGTCTGGGCCAGCAAGGAAGTGAAGCAGTCCACAAGTAAGTAACGTCCTAGATTCATAGACTCATGACTATTCACAATAAGATGTATATTTCGTGTTGGGGTTTGTGTATCAAAATATTTTACTAGAAAAATAAAAAAAAAAGGGAAATTCTGTTTGAAAATTTTTTATTTAATTCTTATATGATAATATAATATTGTAGGTCCCTACAGACAGTTTATCTTTATATAAAAAAAAAAAAAAAAAACAATTCTTGTAGCTCGATTTTTAGATATAATATGAGGTCCTTATATAGCTAGTGAGATAATTAGTTTATATACAGAAGAGAATTTTTACAACATATAAATTTTTAGCTTGATTGTTAAATAGAGTTTTAGATTATCAGATAGATCTACGAAGATTTCGCATCTGTAGAATTATAACAGATACTGATGAAACTGATGAATAATAATGGGATATATTCTATTATATACATATATCGAATTTATGGAATATATAGAATATAAAATATTATATGTATACCAAATATACAAACTTAATCTATAAAGGTTTATAAATTATATTGAGCTTATATAGTAATAGTAATAATAATAGTAATACAGTTAATAGAACATTCTATAATATATGCAATAATATATGAATCGATTGCTGTTAATATACTACTATACTATACTAAAAAGTAATTTATGAACCGGTTCATTGTGGTTCGTTTCATGAACCGTTGTCTTAAACACTCTCACTCGCTTGCAGATAAACGTTATAGCTATGGCAAGAACGCCACGTCTGGCGGCCAGACTGGCAGTCGGAATACGTCCGGTGCCAGCAAATCTGGCGGCGATTCAGCTGCGACTTCAGCTAAAGATGCGAGAGCTGCGCCTGCGCCGCCGCCGTCGAGTGAACGAAGCGCGGAGGGCCGAAGCCGTCCATTGGAGCATCAGTATACCGGGCAGTTTAGCATGTTTGTGGACGAGGGTCAGTTTCCCACGTGGGATGACTAAATCAGCCCGTACAGCTTCGATATATATATGTACATATATATATATCGATTTATCGATATTCCAGCTATAGAATCGTACAGTTCAACTTCCGTAAGTTCATTTCCGTTTTCGTTCGCGTTTGCGCCTCGCTGTGATCGTGTAACAGCCAGGCAGCTACCTTCGAGGCGCAAGCTAAGGGCGATACAGACATATATATATATATTTATATATACATGTATACATATATATGTATATATATATATGCATGTATATATTCCAATAATGTAGACGACCCACACTAAAGCGCAGAATGCTGGCAACCCAAAGATAACTGTAAATATGTTTAGCTATACAAATATATACTAATATATATACATATATATATGTATATGTATATAAATGCGTTACATACAGCGCAGCCTCAATGGTTGTTGTTAGTGCCATTGAGGCTCCACTGTATCTATCACTTTCACTATCGAATATATATACATCAAGCAACCAACTCAACATCAACTACCTATATATAAATCTACAAATATAAATATATATATATATATTTATATATATATACATATATATACTGTTGTAGAGCCATGCTAGCGTGTTAATACTGTATTCGATTGGCAGCTCGCAATTTCTCTCATTTGCGTTATCGAACATCGATTGATCGATTAATCGATTTGCCAATGTGAAAGAAACAAGAGAAAGCAAAAAAAGAAAATGAAAGACAAGAAAATAACTGCATATTTTTGAGATTGTTATGCACAAATAATTAGGGTGGCCATATATTTATGTGGGGGGGCGGAGCTATTGAAAGCAAACTAGTTCAATGTTTTGCGCGTACGTGCGTGTGTTCACTGTACAGTATGCACAAACACACACATACATACACGCACGCACACACACACGCACGGCTATACATATAGTAAATGTAATTGTAAGGGGAAGCCCCGACAGGAGCCAAACAAAAGACAACTAAAGTTATAATGGATGTACATATATACATATATGCATATATACATACATACATATATATGTATACAAATATGCATATATACATATGTTAACACTATCAATTCTATGTATATTATATTTATGATTATTGACATTGCCATTATACAGTTATTGTTACTATATATATGAATTATATCGATACGGTTTATATGTATTACGAATACCTCTATATACATATTATACGAGTATATATACACACAAAATGTTATTGTTTCTCGGCTATTGTAGAGGCTTGCGTTGAACTTGATTCGGTATTTCTTGTTATTTAAATCTATGCAAATACAAAAAAAGTGAAAATAAAAAATAAAATACAAAAAAAAAAAGAGAGAGAAATGAAAGGAAGCCATAAAATTTATCATATTTACTAATCGCAAGCAAAACTATTCAAATTCAAACATTTATGTAACAAAATAAAACAAAGCAAACAAAATACCAACAAAATCAAATACTTTATGCATAACAAAAAACCAAAAAAAAAAATATTACTAACATTTATATACAATGCATACATTTTTCCACTTTATATACTAAAAGCAAGAAAGCAAACAAGATTTTTTAAACTATATACGATTTATAAAAATACTTAATATTTAATTCGTTTATATTTTTATTTTTTAAACTTAAAAATCTTTATACAACAAAAAAAAAATAAATAAATAAAAAAATAAAAAAAAATACTGTACATACACACACACACATTCAGAGGCACACACAGTTATACAAAGAGACTCTAACGGTAACAAACAACCAAACTAACAATGTAAACATGATCTAAATGAAAAGTATATATGAACTATCCCCAAGCAAGGTACAACTAACCAACCAAATACTAGCAAGCGATAAACAAATACTAAACAAATACCAAAGATATCGAACCGAACAAATACTACAAGATTATATATATATATATGTACATACCCGTATATATAATTAAAATCTATTACACTTAAGCTTAAGTTTAAGACGCGTTACGTATATTACATATGTATATTCCAAGAGGAAAAGTTGTTTGGCCCCCAAAAAATACCCAGCATCTAAAGCACTTGTATTTCGACTTATATTATATATGCCATTATTATCATTATTATTATTCCTATGTATTCTTATAAAGCTAAATCAAATGCTAAGTAAAACATACTTAAAACCAAAACAAACAAAAAACTAAAAAAAAAAAAATTTACAAATCCTTCATTGATCTAAATGTACATAGATAATACCCAATATATATATATATATTTGTATCCTAGTATTATATAATCTAATATTATTTCGATTTCTTGCCCCTTTTTGTATTGCGTACAACTCAATTCAATTTAAGTGCCAAATGCACGCATCTAAGAAAAAAACAAATACTAATTCTACTAAATCGAAAATACTAAAATATATTCCTAAAATTTCAGATAATATTCTGAATCTATTTGGCACATTCCTTAAATTTGGAGTGGGTTTTAGGACCAAACTGTTGAGAGTCTTATAGTCATTTTTGTTAGCTTATAATTTATTTAGTATTTTTGTTGTATTTTTTTTTTTTTAATAAATTGCTTGTACATACACAACAACAAACAACTTATATATACTATATATATTTTTATGAAACAATACTACCAAAATAATAAATAACATATCCTAAGACACACGAAATTGAAAAAAGAAGTTTTTCCGCCAGACAGATCACATGTACAAGGTATCTAGTAACTCTAGACAACAAAACAGCCCAACTGAATAAATAATAAATACTAACTGTAAAATACTAACAACTAAATGATATGACAAAAAAATATACCAACTACAAACGAGCTCTTCGAGAAGTTTGTTCCTTCCACCATTTGGTTCTTCTGATACCACCTAAAGAAAATGTTTATAACTGTTATTATACATATGCAACTGAACAATTACGAAATATTGAATATTAATAGAGATTATCATCGATTTTCCACAGTTACAATTCATTCTTTTGTATATATATATATTATATATATATACAAGAACTTGCTTCCGTTAATAAACATATGCATTTTTTTAAATTACTTTAATTTACTATTTTTTTTAAACAAACAATATATTTATATAACTATATCTATATATAGATTGACAACAGTCAAAAATATTGATTGAACAATATGAAAACGGGAACATTTCTTCAATAAACTTTACAATCACTCCATGAACTAGTTCATTTAATTCAATCTACTTAAAAGGGAAAAGAGGAAGTCACCAAATAGCAAGCAATAGATGAAATAGATTGGGTCACATCTGATTGATTGATTGATTTGGGTACTACTACTGAGCAAGCAAGAGACTTTAAGCTAAATGACAGATATAAGGGAGCGATTGATTGATCGATTGATTGATTGATTGATTGATTGATTTGGGTGCTACTGAACAAGCGATAGTTAAATCTAGAATGAGTCACATTTGCATGAATTATAGAGAAAATAGTTGAATAGTTGATCAATAGATTAATTGATGCAATCAATGAAGAGGCATAGGCCAATTCATGATTGAGTGATTGATCATTGATTAACGACTGATTGATTTATGTTTGATTCATGATTGATCGTTGATTGAGTGATGATTAATTAATGATTGATTGGTGATTAGTTTTTGATTGATTGACGACGACTTATTAATTGATTGATGATCAATCGATGATTGACTAATGACTGATTGAAGATTAATTAACGACTGATTGATGATAATTAATTGTTGATTGATTGATGATTGGTTGAGTGATTGATTGATTATTGATTGTAGATTAATTGGTGATTGATTAATGACTAATTAATGATTGATTGTTTATTGAACGTTAACTAAAGAGCTCAAGACGAAGCCAAGTAACAAATGCAACAGAATAGAATACAAATATTGATTTGATGAGTTTGATTGATTGGTTCAATGATTGTTTCCATTTCCAAACACACACACACACATACATACACACATAGAGACGGACACAGATACACTTAAAAACGAGTATGATGTACCTAAGTTTTTATTTATTTAATAAGACTGAATTTCTGCATATGATTTAGTTGAATATATTATATACATACACATGCATACACATAAACATACATACATACATGCATACACACAAACATACATACATACATATATGCATACATATAAATATGTATTATGATTATTGTAAATATATTTATAGCATTTAAAAACGATATACATACATACATTATACATTATACTTGCATATATATAAAATATATACATATATATATATATATATATATATATATATATATATATGTATATGTATATATATACATACATACATACAGTTTGAATTATTTTTATGTATATATACATACTTAGCAACTTTACAACTTTAGCTAATAAAGCATCAAAATTTTAAGAAATATATTCTCAACTCATTTAAAAAAAAACCTAAAGAAACCCAAAAAAAAAAAGAAGAAAGAAACAGTAAAAGTAAAAGAGAATTTACAGAAAAAGCTATTATACATAATATACATATATATATTGTATATGTATATACAATATATATATGCATGTATATGTATATTTATATATATTTCAATGGATCGATAACAGAATAAACCACAAAAACAAAAACAAAACTACAAGATGTTAAATTAATATAATGAAATAAATTTTTTATTCAAATACTACTCTTAATTTGATTTATGTGTTAATATCTTATTAAATGATATTTCATGAAAATATTATATAAAAAAATGGAAAAAAAATAAATAAAAATTGTTAGGATATTCAAAATATTGATTGAATTGTATTTTCATTCAGTTTTTATCATCTAGAATGGGAGTTATCTTAAGGTGACCGTGGAGCACCTACTAAATGCTGTTTGGCTTAAGAACTAATTTCGGTCATTTCACTAATATCAACTTATCTTTTATTATATATGCATGTATATATGTACAAGTGACCGTGGAGGACATACGGATGTATGGAAAAGAGATTGTCTGGTGTCTGCTTGGGGTCTCGCTTCTATTTGAACCGGTTTCACAACCAACAAAAGTTCAATTTCGAAACTATATCATTAAAATGACCATGGAGGATGTGATTAAACAAAGTTAACGGAACCAGACTTTGCTAAGGCGTTAGCTTCAGCTGTTATCCATAGTTTGACCATGGTCTGAATGGCAGGTAGCCGGACTGCAGTAGTATGTGGTTCAAGAGAACATGGAGAACATTGTAGAGCTGCTTAGAAGTAGTGAATCCCATTACGATAAGAATTAGACATGATGCGAATGAATTATTTCATAGGTGAGTTTTTGAGTTTAGTAATTCGTTTGCCAATCAAGCGACCATTAAAGCCCAAGCTTGGTGAGAAAAGTAATATTGGGGGACCAGATTAAAAATAAGGTGACCATGGAGAGTACTTCATATGACCGTGGAGAGCACTTCATACAACAAATATGCGAATGAACTCAATAAGAGTCGAGAGTTAAATTATTCGAACTTCCATATAGGAATCTTTAGGGAGCAGAGCAGGAGAAAGTAACGAGAAAAAAAATACAGTCGAGTCTCTATAATTCGTACCTCGCTAAATCGAAAATCGCGTTAAATTGTAAAGATTTTTATCCCCTTGTAAGAAATTCGTTCTCAATTCTCGATAGCTTGAATTTCTGTGCAAATCGAATAAAACGGATCCCTGATCCTGAATAAAATTTAAAATAATATATATAAAATAGAGTGACCATATCTTTTGTAGGATCAGATCAAGAAAATCTAACCATGGAGAACGTTTCATTCCAATATCCTGAATAAAAGCTACAAATTTGCTCATTCGAATGCCGACCACGTGACCCAAAAGCGAGAGGAAAACATTGATATAATTTAGAAACTACGACACATATATTTTAATGCTAATTGTATTTACAAAAGCCGAGATAAAAGAGTAGAAAATCGAGAAAAAAAAACAAAAACAAAAAAAAAATAGTAAGAGCTCGCGCAGAGCTCTTACTTTAAGTAGTAACTGGAGTGCGGCAACCCTGGCGATGTATAGCTGTTGATTGACTGCTGATTGAGATCCAGATTGAGCGAACCGAATGGCTTCAGATTGAAGCTGTGACGCTGGCTCAGTGTATCATCGTCTGGATAGTTGACCAGAAATGCGTTGGGATTCGGTTTGAAATTGTTGGGCTGCTCCAGGTAGGCAAAGGGATTGGAAGGATTGGGCCTCGGATTGGGATTGGGATTCGGATTCGGATCTGGATTGGAGTTGCCAGGCTGCGCCGTGTCATCAATATCTTGCTCTGCCGCTGCGGCACCATCGCTGCGCACGTCGCCATCATCAGTCGCTGCTCCTGCGCCTGTCTCTGGCTTTGCTCCCTCCTCTGCCTCTGCCTCTGCCTCTGCCTCTGCCTCTGCCGCAGCCGCAGCGTTGCCCTCGATGAAACTGGGCTTAGAGTAGATATCTGCAAAGTGTTGGAGAGAATCCAATTGTACGGCAATTAGTTAAAAGTTTGCGTATTTTACCAGCGGGTTGTGCATACTGATAGATCAACTGATCCGCCAACTGAGCGGGCGGACGGCGCGCCGCTGGTGCGGGCGGTGCTGCTGGTGCTGCTGGTGCTGCTGGTGCTGGCTGCGGCTGTGGGCGTGGTCGTGCGCGTGTAACCAGACGTGGAAACTGCGCTCCATAGTCGTAATCGTAGTCATAGTAAAAGTTGCCCACAGGACGCGGCGAAGGACGCACGCGTCTCGGAGGCGGCGGTGGTGGTGGTGGTGCTGCTGTTGTTGGTGGTGGTGCTGGTGCTGGCGCTGCTGTGGTGGGTGCTGGTGGTGGGGCTGGTGCGGGTGCATCGCCATAGTCGTAATCGTAGTCATAGGGGCGTGGCCACCAGCCAGGCCCCGGGAAGAAAGGATGCGGTCTGCGTCGCGGTGGCGGCGGTGGCGGCGGCGGCGGTGGTGGTGGTGTCGGTGGAGCTGGTGGCGCCGCCGTCGTTGTGGTTCGCATCATGGCGGGTCGTCGAGTCGTCTTGGCATTGACTATATTGCGAGTAATGTTCGCCTTGACGCTGGACAGATCGGCGCTCTTCTGCAGCAGATTGCGCAGCAGGAGGCCAAAGTCGAGGGTGATGGTGCCGCGCTTGGTCCTGGCGTCCTCTTGGCAGCTGCTCGGACAGACGGCCAGCAGGGCGAGCAGCATTACACAATAGCTGCACTGCATCCTGGCCAACAATGCGTTCGTGGAGTCTCTAGTCGATGGAGTCTATCGCTGGCTGCGCTCGCTAAACCGCGCTGTGTGGCGTTCCAATCAGAACTGGCGAGCTGCCCGCTGGCTGTCTTGACTCGCGCCTGGGCGTTGCGGATTAAGTGGCCAAAAAGCCAACGAGTTAGACGGGTTCAACAGCCAGCCAGACAGCCTCTCAGACAGCCTCTCAGACAGCCTCTCAGTCAGCCAGGCCAGCCAGCCAGGCCAGGCCAGGCCAGCGAGCTCTCTGTCAACGGGTTCTGTGCGTGGCTACAATTACTTTTGCACTACTTTTTTGTGGCACTCGAATAATTCGTGCGCAAGCCTCTAGCTGCGACCCCACCAAAGCTCAGCACAGTGGGACACACAGTGCCCATTGCTAACGGTAATCGGGGAGAGATAAATTGTAGGAAGTGATCGAATGGAAGTTACCCTGGGTCTCTGGGCCTATGTGCCTATCTCTCTCTCTCTCTCGCACGCTCTCTCCCTCTGTTTTTATCTCTGGATGTTAAATTTATCTTTTTCTGGGTTTCTCTCTCTATCTCGATCTCTCGATCTTTCTCCATATCTCTATTTCTATCTCTCTCCTTATTGTAGTTACCTGGGCCTCTGTGCATATGTGCCTATCTCTCTCTCTCTCTTTCTCTCTGACTTTAACTTCCACTCTCTCTCTCACTATATCAATCTCTGGATGTTACATCTGTCCTGTTCTGGTTTTATATCGCTCTCTCTCAGTCACCCTCTTTCTAACTCTCTCTCACTGTCTCTCTCTCACAGATTCCCCTTTTCTCTCTCTCTTACTGTTTCTCTCTCATACACTCCCTCTCTCTCTATCTTTCACTACATCTCTCTCTCTCTATCTATTTCTCTCTCCATATCCCAATTTGATTCTCGCCCTGATTATATCTTTCTTTATTATTTTACTCAAATTTCTCTATCCTGGCTCTCTGCCTCTCTTGCCTTATACTTCTCTATTTATCTCCTTTTCAGTCTGTGTTCCCTCAATAAAGTCTCTCTTTCCTGTTCTGTTCCGCATCTCCAACATTTCCGCTAACTCTCTCTCACTCAACCTCCACTCTCGCTCAACTCTCTATGTATGTTCTCTCTCTTTCTTCCTCAGACTATCTAACTCTATCTATCGTAATTTCTGAAGCTCTCCATCTCTCTCTTTCTCTCTCAATGCTGTCTGATCTAAATCTTATCCAAATCTATTTCCATTCCATTTCAATGGACTTGGTACCACGGTGCGCACACTGATTATAGTGATACATATGCATCAAATTTACTTGAAGCTATTATGACTTTTTTTAAAGCCAACTTGTTGCACTTAGTTATAATTTAGATACCCTGTGAAATGCGTGTGACAAGTGGCATGACAGACCAAAGAGTGTGAATGTGAAATAGATGAGGTATATATAATATATAGAATGTTGATATATGTTTGTAATATAAAAAATATGTCAAAATCGACTCGGAGTTATTCGCTTATACCTAAATACAAAGTACACTTTTTTATATACATATTATCATAGATAGTAATTTGTATTTCCAGGGTATTCGTGCAGTCGCATACGCTTATACGTACAGGTTATGTTTATGCATTTGCTTAGCAATTAAAGGCCTTTACTTTTAGTTAGGTGCACTAGAATCGAACCGAGATATGTGTATATATACCTCTACATATAAGATACATACATATATACAGATAATAGTGTCAGAAAGATCTTGTTTGTTTTCACAGCTGAATTCGAATTTGATTTCCAAGTCGAAATTAATTTGATTGAAAGGCAACCAGTGATAATTTGTACACATTCAAAGAGCTATACATATATACTATAGATATATATATAGATAGAGATATATGTTATATATAATGGATATATAACTAAATCCAATTTAAATTGAATGTGCATGAGGAACAACTTTTGGGGCAAAATGCTTGCATAAGCTGAAAATTGCATCGAAAGTCGAGCAGAAGTGGTGGAAAAATGGGGAAAAAATGGGGGAAAACTGAAATGAAATGGAGAGTTAAGCTGGTCTGTCAGCCATATGTACAGCCCGTTTGCCACAGATATTTGTTCGCTGCTTTACTTTTCTTTTCGATTCATTAATTTTCCATTTTCCTCGTGGAAATTGAAAATTCGTCAAGCGTTGCGTGCGAATCGCTAATAGACTTCAGACTCCAGATTTCAGCTCAGACCTGAGGCTTAAGATGCTTAGCGTCGCAATGCGTTCAACAACCTACAGGCTTACGCTTGACAAATGACTAAGAGACTCCGGCAGGCAGACAGAAAATGTGCTCGACTATGAAATACCCTAAGCTAAAACATATGTAATAACTTTTAGCCATGCTTTGGCCGAAGTCGAAATTTGATTCATTATGAGATATTCCAACGAAAGCAAAAGGTTCGCTAAGCTATGAAATACCCTCACTATGAATATATATAATATCATAGATATAGATATTCCTAAATTAGCCTAGGCAGAAGTCAGACAAAAAACTATGTACAAAGAAAACAAAGGATTCTCTCGTAAAAAAAAAAAAAAAAAAAAAATAATGTAATGTACGCTTGCTTTGAAATACCCTAACTAAAGGTGGTAAACAAATTTTGTAAAGGCTTTGACAGAACCAGAAGCTGTAATCAATTGTGAAGTATCCTTAGCAAAGCATACTATTCGTAGAAGAGATAAAATCAAAGCAAAATTGACTTGACTATGAAATACCCCATGAAATATCCTAAGAAATACTCTAAGAAATATTCTATAGAAATACCATATGAAACAGTCTATGAGATACTCTAAAAAATACTATAATAAGTACCATTTAAAACAGTCTATGATTTCAAATATCCTATGAAATACGCTATGAAATGCCTTGTGAAATACCCTATGAAATACCTTATCAGGGTAAGAGTGAGTAATAGTTGCCCATACTCCAAAAACAACTGCGCCTATTAAAATAATGTTAATGTTTGATACCTGTCAAGCCCTAATGAACAGCTTCATTAATTTCTAGCTAGATCTGTATTTCTAGCTAGATCATATATAGATTCTACAAATCACCTGCCAATAAATTTCGATTTAAAATCGATTTGCAGCTTATCCAAGCAGACATGAGTATAAAACTGTGTTCTACCTTGACAGATTTTGCCACGCCTCTAGTAGGCGTAAATCCACTTTATAGTATTAATTGTCGATTATCGAAGCTCATATATCAAGATAAATTATACATAGATATAAAACCAACATACCAAACCACCAAACTAATATGCTCTGCCGTCAATTGAAAACAGGGTATATGGCAAGGCAAACAAAGCTCATTGCAATTGCAGATTGGAACTAGTTATGGCAGTTGCCTCAGATAAAGATTTGAAATGAGACACATTAAAACAGTTTATTACCAAACATAAAACTCTATATACACGCATACCTTATGAATATCTATATGTATAGATATATACATATATATATATATATATACATAGACATATGCAAGAGCAATGAAAATATCATAAAGATTTGCTCCGATTTGAGCGTCGTTTGGCCTAAGCCTCGACTAGATTTTGCTGTGAGATGCTCGTGGGCGCTGCGATGACGGCCAGTGAGACGGTGGGCGTCACCGTATGGGGCTTTGGCGCTGTGGGCGTGGTACGTGAACGTAGCGTACGTATGAAGTGCAGCTCCACTTGAACAAACGGCGCCTCCACGCAAAGATACATGAGCAGAGAGACGAGCAACGTAATGCCAAAGTCTGACCAAAAGTGCAGAATCTACCGAGAGAGAGGGAGAGTGAGAGAGAGAGAGGGAGAGTGTGGGTGAGTGTGATGTGATTAGTCCCAGGCAAACACTCACTGCATCATAGTTGGAGAAATGTTGACTGCTCTTGATGCGCCCCATGTTGGCCATCTCGATCAGCAGATGCCAGATGTAGAGGCAGTAGGAGAGCTTCGACACCGGCTGCCAGAATGACCAGCTGAGCAGGGTGTTGACCAGGCCGCCACGGCCGCTCTGGCAGGCCCAGATGAGCCAACAAATGGCCAGGGGCCAAGCGATGCGACTGCAGCACACATAGAATGCGCCAGCCAGGGGCGAGATCTCTGCGGCGCCTGGCCGAGTGTAGGGATAGACGCTCCAGATCGACGTCGCAATGAAGAGCAGCGCCAGCAGCCAGAGCAACAGCATCAGCCACGCGGGGATGCGGCGCCGGCGGCCCTGCTCGCCGTGCAGAAAGCAGCCAAAGAGCAGCCCGATCAGCCAGGGCATGGCACGCGCATGGGTCGTATAGTAGATCATGCGCATCTCCATGCTGTCGGCGCCCAAATTGCTGTCCAGGCAAAAGCGCTTGATCAATTGACATTGCTGCTCTGGACTTTGGCCAGGCGATTCACTCACCCCTTGCGATCGAAGACGGTCAGCTTGTTCAGCATTATGATGCTGAAGACGCAGCCGAAGAGCAGCGCAGTCAGCAGGACGATTCCAGCCACAGCTCGACGACGCCAGCGATAGAGGGGCCAGAGGAGCAGGGGGGAGAGCAGGAACAGCTGCATGTCCACGGCCAGATACCAGGCGTGACCCAGACACTGCAGGGACAGCCAAAGCAACTGTTAGCTTGATTGATTGATTGATTGACTAATATGGATAGATGAAAGCATAACATGTAAGATTTTCCAGTGAAGCGAAAAAGTAATTAAGGCTATGTCAATCATTTCTGTTGATTAAGTGACTTGTTGATTGACTGATTGATCAATCATCTGATCAATATCTACTACCAAGAAGGCAGAAAATCACATATATTATAGAAAAGAAAACCAATCAACTGTTTAACTACCTATATACATATATAATTTTGATTGATTGACTGATTGATTGAGTAACTCATTGACTAATATCTACAGTTGCGAACGGAAGTAAGACGAAAACTATTTATGTAAAGCTATGGCCATCATTTTGATTGATTAAAAGACTTACTGATTGACTGATCGATCAATCACCTGATCAATATCTACTACCAAGAAAGAGGACTACAAAGGTTTTATAGAAAAAAAGAAGAGCAATCAAATGTTTAACTACCTATATACATATATAATTTTGATTGATTGACTGATTGATTGATTGACTCGGCTGCGAACGAAAGCAAGACGAAAACTATTTATGCAAGGCTATGGCCATCATTTTGATTGATTGATCGATCAATCACCTGATCAAAATAAAATCAATCAACTGTTTGATTAACTATCTACATATATAATTTTGATTTATTGTCTAATGTCTGTCAATCAATCGACTCACTGACTAATACATATATAGAGCTGCGGATGGTGCATAGTTTAGGCAAACAAAAATACTAATAAATATTAAGGACGTTATTTATAAGATTGA